CAGCGTGCCTTCTCTGGGAGAGAAGAACATCCAGTCGACTAACAAAGAAAAAATTTACTAATTAAATTGAGTGGAATTATAAAAAAACAAGTAGAAATTTGAGTTTACCACACTTTTATCTTAAACAAGTTTATTCTTTTTTGCAGTTTAGTGCCTCTGTCATCTTGAGTGTTTAGAGCTGTGTTAGTCTGCCTTATATCTGAGAAACATATTTTTTAAAAATGAAATAAATGTAAAATAAAAAATAAATAGCCATTAATTAGGGCAGTTAGATAAAACTACTTTTTGTTTTAAATCTTTTTTTTTTTATTTTGCTGAGAGAATAACTTTAGGAAAATTCATAAATAAAAAGCCCAAAACTATTTTTCTTTTAAATAAAAATAAAAATTAAATTTGAATGTCTCAGCCTAAATGACACAATGACCAATATCCAGAAAGTACAAAGAAATTATTTTAAACATATGACATATTTAAAGAAAATAAAAACAGTTGAAAATATTATTTTGTAAAGCTCATTTCAGATTATTTTAAATTCAGATATTTTTGAAAACATGTGAAGATGTGTTTTATATCATAAACCAAACTAAGAATCAATGCAAAGAATAATCTATATACTAGATAATAATAATCTAAATACTTTGATTCTGAATACTTTGTTGACAGTTTCATTGCAATAGTCAAACATTCAATTTAATAAAGTAAAGGTTTAACCACTATTTTGATATTTTCAGTAAAATGTGTATTAAATGTTGAAAATGGTTGGCATTTAATACACATCATGAAAAAATAATTAAAGTGTTTTGCAAATATTGTTTATGGTTGTGATGATAAAGTCAACAAAGATTTTATCCTAACAGTAAACAAAGCTGCCATTTTTAAAATCTGATGCCTCCTGTTTATATATCAAATGGATCCTGAGGCATTTATTAACATTTTTTATCTTGTTCTTCTCAGTTTGAGTTACAGATCCAAGTCCTGGACCTTGAAGATTAAAAGTTTTGAAGAATCATGGGAGACTGATGAGAGCCGAGATGCAGCAGGCATTAGCCTTTTTGTGGTGTTTGCCTTTTGATTGTGAGGCTGCTTGGTGCCGGTTGTCTTTTTTTTCGGCTCCTCAGGCTCAGACTGATGGATATCAAACGATTATTCAAATGTCGGCGGGCAGCAGAAAGACAAACTCTGCGGAAAGAAAAGGGGGGGAGAGGCGTAGTGTGACAGTGAGGCCTCTCTTTCTGTTTTTGTCCTCTTTCGTTTCTTCTTTCAGTGTTTTGGGAGGCGGGTCAGCGGGGGGCCCCCTGGGGCAGCAAAACATGTGGGGGTTTGTTCACCCCCTGGTTAGTCAGATCAAGACAAAGACGCCAGAAGACAAACAGCAACTCTGTCAGTTTGAAGGAAACCTGAATCTGCTGGGCTCTGATGACTCATTTAGTCTGAAATCGGTTCATACAGTCATGATCCATTGGTCTGGACATCATCTATCAGCTTACTGCTGAACTACAGACATCACACAGCTGTATCACATCAGGTTCACATTATCGCAACAATCTAAAAACCTCAGACGCTCCTGACTGTTACAGTGCGAGTGAACAACATGGTTACACCCAAAAAAAGTCCAGTTCTGGAAGCCAAGCAAGTTAGCTGTGAAGGTTTCAGGTAGTTTCACAGCAGGACCCAAGAGCAGAAGGAAAAACTTGATGAACATGATGGATCTATAATGAATGAAGCGAAGAATGCGCAGCGAAACACAACAGGAACACAGAAAGCATCACAAGCAGGAGAACTAAGAGTAAAATGGGATTTAGGAGAAGATTCAGAGCAGAGGCGTAGCCAGAACATCTTTATAAGGGTGGCCAGGACTCACCCAATGTACACTGAGGGGGGGCGAAGGTAGATAGGCGCCAGAACCTCAGGGTCAATCTACACGGTTCTTACAGGAAAACGATCGAGCAAAACTTCCATATTTTCTAAAGAAAGACAAACTATACTTTCCTAAAGCCTTTACTTACAAATAGACGCATATATTTAAACATCCGTGCTTTCTAGATAAAAGGTATACTGGTTAAAATTCTTTCAGGATTGAGTTCTGGGGCAAACATCTTTTCCATTGTCATTACTTCCCTACTTTTATCAATAATCATTCTGCATAAAATAGATATTTACAAGTACTAATGTCTACATAAATTGATTATTTAAGTTCTTATTAAAATAATTATTTAACTATGATTCCACTGAAGAGTCCTAGATGACTGCAGAGACATTTTATTTTGATCATTTTACCCCATATATAGTTCTGAAAAGATGATGACTTTAATGTTAGTATACTGATGTGCATAATTAACCACAAAAAATGTAAATGTTTTGAATATTCCACCTTAGAGTATTACTGCTGCCACTGTCTGTATTAGAAAGAATAAAATGGTTGGGGTGGCTAAAGGGGTGGCCAATAAATGGCTAAGGGTGACCTGCCCCCCCTCTAGCTCCGCCCCTGATCCAGAGGAGGAGAGTTTGAGTCCAAAAGCTACAGTGGGACAGGTTAGGACAGATGACAAGCTAACAAAGAGGAAACCAGAGGAGGATCAGCTGAAAAAAAGAAAAGGAGGCATTGACACTAATGGACCAACTAGAAAACAATCAACAGGAATGAATAGAAAGAGGAAGAAGCAACATTTTAAAAAGCATTGACTACAGGAATAGAAAGCAAGATGCTAAAAGACGAGACTTAAATGTCACCAAGAGACAAACAGCAGGATTTCACGTCTGTTGACATGGAAGTGGACGCCTCTGCCATCAGAAATGGGTTCAACTTCCACAGACAAAGACCAAAACCTCTGAGATGGTTTCACCCAGACAGATGAGATTACAACTAACCACTAAATTACTAACAATCTCTATAAATACCTAGGCAAACACCCTGTGCAATAAGCCTGTATAATAATCCTGTTATATATAAAAAAAAAAGTTGTCATATGTTGGCACTGTATATACTGTATATATCCCATAAACCTTTTTCTTCTCTTTTGACTATCTGAGCTGATGTAACGAGTAAATTCCTCCACCGCGAGATCAATAAAGTCATTCAATAAATTATTGGATGGATTCAACTACAGAGACCATGTCATCCATCCACCATGACACCACTTTAATGTCACTGTGGTTTCTTAAATTGAAGCATGTTAAAAAATTAGATTGTATTTATAAGCACTATGATCTTGTTTTCTGACTAAACTAGAGCCTTTTACTTTATTTACTTTATTACTGCGCTTTGGTGACTCATCCTCCGATGATAACAAAGCTGCCATTTTATTATCAGATTTCCTTTTGCTGTGAGGCTTTTATCAAAGTTTTTAATGTTTCATCCTGGACATTAAAGGAGGTCTGAATCTTTGATAAGGAGGAGAGAAGGATGAAGGAAGCTCGGTGCAGGATACGCCATTAATCTTTCTACATTAACCGTCTCTAATCTGCACAGTCAAACATGTTTAGTTTGTGGAAATTATTCATGCTATATAAAACTATATGCAAACATATTTTAATAGGATGACCTATTTGGCATCGGATTGTGTAATCAACCGATTTAGCATTTTCTCCAGCTTATTCTGGGGGATCGCAGCGCGTTTACAGACCTGAAGGTTAATACAGGTCTGTCTGCAACACATATGTTCATTAGGAACTACATGATGAGATATATATATTTTTTTTGAATAGAATTTTTTCTAAATTTTGGGACAAGTCTGATAAAGAGTACATTTATATACAAGTCTAATCCAGAATGATATGACATTCAAGTATGATTTCCCTACGACTTTATAATAATAATAATGCCTCCCCTTTTAACCCTCAGAACATCGGATTTATAATCGATGGAGAAGAAAGTTTCCTTTACTTGCTGTGGTAACAGGTGAGACTGAGCCACTTCCTCTAACAGGAACAGGATGTAATGGTTCCACCTAGAAAATCCTAATTTCTAAATTTCAAAAAAAAAATTCGGAAATTTGGAACAGAAGAGTAAAAAAACCACACACAAAAAAAAAAAAAAAATATATATATATATATATATAATAATCATAAATATCTCTATGCGTCTTTTTATATCCTTAAAATTAGTCAAGTTTTCGTGCAATATATTAAAGTAAATGAAAAGAGAGAAATTTAATTTATAATTGTTAAATAAAAAAACCTATAAGACTTATAGCAGCTCAAAATAAATGGTGAAGCAGTGGTAAAGTTTGAAAACATAAAAGTTAGTATTTTAATATTTTCACCAAATAAATTGTTTTTGGGATCAAAGTTATAATAAAAAAAAACTATTATTTAATATTCTTATCCTTTCATTAATAGAAAAAGGAAGAAAAAAAGAGGCTGAGGAGGGAAATGGTTTGATGATCCTGTGATATTTAAACCCGGACTTTCTGGATATGAAGACCACAGCTATAAGACGTCGATTTCTCTGGGTTTAAGCGCGACCTTTGACCCGAAGAATGAGGAGAAACTGATTGTGATGCATTTATAAATGTTTATGTCATCTATTATGGGAAGATTTATTAAAAACGTCTGATAAAAGATGAAAGCTCATGCATGAATGTCACACATATTGTTCAAAACACGCAAAGTATGATGTTGTTAGTTAACTCACGGAAAAAAAATTTAAAATTAATATTCAGGCCAAAGTTTTAGGTATTGATCACACTTCTGTGGTGCACAACAGTCATTGAAGACCTTTTTTTATTAATTCCTCATCTGATAACTCCAATAACCAGAGGAGTTTAAAGTTTAAAACCATGACTCTTGCTTCTTCTGAGTCTTTTTGTGATGGATCTATGGTGTTATATTCAGGATGGGCTAAAGAAAAGCATGATCCTAAAGGAGGAACGGAAAGGTCCGAGCTCAGGGAGTAGAATGTTGTTGCCAGAGGGGGCGTGGCAGCAGAACCTTCATATGCACATGGGTTCATTCATCACAGCCTGGCTAAATGCATTCCTGTCAGTCAGAGGGAGAAAGGAGACCTACAGGCCCATTCACGCTTCAGGCGGCGCTGCTTAGGCATGCAGCTAGAGCTGCACACACACAGAAAGGCGTTGACAGATGGCAGCATTCACAGTGATGGCGGTCAGACAGGCGGAGAGCTGGAGGTTGTTAACTCTGATGTCTGATATCAGTTACTCTTTACTGAGAAGGCTGTAAAAGTTCGGGTCAGAACACAGAATCTCAACTCTTTCCAGCTGCTGGGTTTTTTCTACAGATGCTGATAACGAGACAACTGAAAGGAATCGGCTGATTTTTTCCAAACGATTGATTCAATCTGAGGTCGTGATCAAAGCTTTCTATAGTGACGCAAATGTTTGCTTCCTCCTTACATGTTTCCAGTCCTTAAACACGTCATTATCAGGCAGAGACGGCGTGTATAAATAGTAATATAATAATTTCAAAGACAAGAAAAGAAAAGCAAAAAACAGCATGATGACAGTCCTGTTTCATAAAGGTCGATTCTAACATTTCAAACTTGATATCAACCCCCCAACCATGGGATTAAAAAATTTATCTTATCACCATGAAAAACTTACTTTAATAGTTACACTGATCATGGTAACTCAACTTATGCTAGTTAAAAAAGGGTGCAAATAAATGTTAAATAAATTACCCAAGAATTTCTGAGGTGTTCTTGCAATGTACAAAATAATCTAGAAATTTCACATTAATAATAGCAGAATTATGCAAACAACTGTCATGACTTGGCACTGATAGCTGGCTCAATTGCTCATTTTATTCACCTGTTGAACTCTGCCTAGTTTCTCATTACTGCTCATTTGATCCACCTGTTCCTGCCTCTATTTAAGCTGCTTGGTCCAAGCCATCAGTGCCAGATTGTTCTTGAGCCTTCGATGTGAGAGTTTTCTAGTGTTTCTAATAGTGTCCTGATCCTGACCCATCTCTGTATTCAGACTTTTGAGCCTGCCTGCCCCCATCTGATCCATCTGCCTGACCCGTCTTCGGATATCTGCTGGTTTCTTCTCGTGGACTGAACCTGGATCTGCCTTCTGACTTCAACCTGGATTATCCCTCCTTCCATTGTCTGCTTGGATCTGACCTCCTGCCAGCTCTCCAGCCTTCTGCGTCTGGAATCATCATCCTCGTTCTCTGGACACGGACTGAACTGTTAAATCAGGTTAGTGACTCATACGTTCAAAATCATCCTGCATCAGATTATTGTGGTCACTAACCTGTGTTTCTCTCCTGCCATAGACGCCCCAGCCGCAGATACTGCAGATCCATAGCCAGTCATTTTAAATAAATGCATTTAAGTTATCCCTCTGTCTTTCTTGCCTGAATTCTGGGTCCCTCTGTTCTGAGTCATTACAACAACACATCTTTGGTATCAATACCAGAGCTACTAATAATATATCTTTATTTTAAATCTGTCTATAGCAGAGGTCCCAGATTAGCGGACCAGGACCCACCTGCTGGCTAGACCCAACCTGATTTAAAACATTTATAAATTACCGCAGTGTCTAAATTCACTTGCGCCTCTTCTCCTGTTAATACGGTAAAGCCCTCTGGAGCGTCCGGCACCAGGCTACACGTGATAAAAATTATCTAATGAGCTGCTGTCAGTCTGGGTTGCTGCTGATGCTACTTTAAGACACAGCAGGTAAACCTGTGGCAAGCCGGGCGATGGGAAAGAAGGAGAAGATGATGAGAAAAAGAGAGCAGGAAGTGTGGACTGCTGGAAGAACTGTGGTGAACTGGTGAAAGAAAAGTGAAATGGTGCTCAAAGATGACCCTGCACATTTAGAGGGTGTTTGGCTCAACCTGCTGCTGTGAAGCAGGATTCTCCACCATGAACAGAATCAAAAATAAATATTGATCCAGGCTCAGAATGAGCTCCTTGATATGTGCTTTAGAATGGCTTTGTCTCCATTCAAACCAGGTTTAAAGCCTTGCAGGGCAGCATAAAACCCACTGCCAACATTAAGACAGAAAAAAAACAAACAGTCAGTTCAAGCATTTTATAAAATATGGAAATCAGGAAGTTTTTTATATACCAAACTGATTGTTGTTCTCTAAAAACACTAGATTTTAAAATGAATTTTTTTATTTATTTTTTTTTTTTATTCAATGCATAACATGGATGCAAAAAAAACAAAACTTATTTTATTTCTGATATTTTTTTATTGGTTACAACTGGTCTATAGAAATGTTCCCTCTAACTTTTCAGTACACCTAGGGATCACTGTGAGCAACTTCTGATATAAACCTACCCATCTATCTAGAGATAGAAAGTTGCTAGAGATAGATAGATAATAAACCCATGATCATAGCAAGTTACATGACTTATTAAAAGATTAAGAGATTACAGCAGCAATTTACTTCTAATTTAAGTGATTTTTCCCCGATTAAAATTAAAAAAGAAACAAATAAAAAAAATAACGTGTTGTTCATGAGATGTGTGGTATGTTTAAATTTTATTCATTTCACATCTGTTGTTCTTCTCCAATGGTTATCCATATATGCTGTTCTCATATGATTCATTAAATTAAACCCTCTTTCTCAATCAGCACTGAAATGCAGCACAAATATCCAGAAGCTGTGAGATCTCCTCACATCTAATGCACCATATCATCATACCACAGAGAATGTCCTTCAATGTAACAATGTATTAAGTATTAATACTTGAATTTAGCAAAGAAAATAAAAAAAAGTCCAACTCAAAATCGCACTGCACAGTGATCAAGCGTGTCTTGAAATGTTTGCACTTGGAACACCATAAATGTTAGAAACCTAATTTGCTTTTTATCATAAAACTAATTATAAATAAATAAAACTGGCACTGAAGAGTAGTTGGATCATACGCCAGAACAGCCGGCTTACACTAAGTCCAGTAGGCTGAGATACATGCATCCCCTCTTCCTTTTATTATCATTACATTCAATGTGGTTATGAGCAAAATCCTCTTCTCTGTTTCAACATTTTATGTAACAAAATTCATGTTTGTACACAGACCCAGTTATTTTCACAGCTGGTTTAAATTGTAAAACGAAAGATGCATGTATTCCAGATAGAGAAAAAAAAAAGGATTTAAAGGTTATTTTGGATTTAATTCATTCACAGATTTTCTTTTACGCTCAGAATGTTACTAACATTGGTCTAACATAGTCTCATTTTATATTTAACATCATGGTTTTTACATTCATGATCTTTTGAAGATATCAATATAACCAGCTCTAATCGAACTAGATCCAACATTTGATTATTGATACTTTAAAGATATATATATTTATATAGATAATATTGACAACCCTGGTATGAAAATAAATAAATAAAATAAATCTCATAATCTCTCTTGCTAAATGTTAAATTAAAAGTTTTTGGGAAGGACAGCAAAGAGTTCTGCCAGACCTCCTGAGGCAAGAAAGCCCTTTAAAGTCGTAGAGAAATCATATTAAAACGTCAAAATCATTCTGGCTTAAACATGTATATAAATGTACTCTTTATAAGACCAAATTGTCCCAAAATTTAGAACATTTCTATTTATTAAAAAATCCTGTCTTAAATTCAGTTTTTTTTTTTTTTGTCATCTTCTGCAGGCCAGTTAGTTATACATCAGCCTGAACACCTAAATTCAGCCAATCATATATCAACGGTAATCTGTCAATCGGTTTATTTGATTGACAGGTAAGAAATAAGAATCATTTCCTTTCCCGCTGAGTTCCGTCCCAGTGTTCACGGGGATGGACGTCTGTGTCTTCAGCAGGCGTAGAGCTAACAGAACTGGCAGCGTTGCGAGGCAAGGGCTCAAACATGTACGGCTGTAAGCCTTCTACACCAAACCAAGCTTCTGCCGCCCTGGCGTCCTCTTCCACAACATCTTCGTCCCGCTTTCCTCCTCTAAATAAAAAATGTATGACGGAGGAGACTCATCCACGACCTCCGACACTAAACTCTCCTCCTCTTGCATGTTTCCTCTGTCCATAGCGTTCCTTGACAGTGTCGTTTCTAAGTCACCAATTTAGTGCTACTTGGTCCCAATGGAATTTCCCATTGGGAACCTACTAGCTCTAAGTTGCTAACTGGTTAGCAAGATGCTTCTGACAAACAGGCCACAACCAAACGTGCTTACAAACCTTCTGCCACAACAATCCCGCCCCCTTGATAAATGATCAATCACATTCATTTTATTCACTCATGTAAAGTCGTGCACCACTCAGGAGAATTCGGAAATGCAACGATGGAACGGCCGCTTTCCAACGACTTTAAAGCATTTCATATTTGTCCTAATGTTTGTGTATATCAGTATTTTATATCATTAATATTTGTATCCAATGACATTTATCAAGCCTTTTTTTTAACATATCAGTCTTGGTCAGATTAGTAAAACTGCGAGGATGTTAATAAATGTGGTTTATTTCCATGTTGTTGGTCTCTGTGTTGGTTATGTTAAAGTGAAGATGATGATTATTATAAAGGTGCAATGTGAACAGCTGTGGTCAAAGGGGAGAATGCATATAATATAATCTGTAGCTGTAATGTCGACCCAAAGGATTTTCAATGACAGCATCTCAAGAACTGCATTTAAGGACTTTTAAATATGTAAAACAAACTAAAAACTTTGGAAATTTCAGTAAAAAAATGGGGAAAAAAACAGACGAAAACGAGAGTTGAACCAATTAAATGTTTAAAGACGTTTTGACGTTCAAAAAGTCCTGGTTCTGGTTTCCGAAAGAAGAGAGAGCGACTTGTTGTCTCCTGGGATTTTGGAAAGTTTCCAAGGACCTTTTTTTTTTTGTTTAGGAAGAGCTCTGATTGTTGCCAAGAGTTTCAAGAACTTCCTAGGTGTTAAATAAACGTTGTATTGATGGAGATGGAGGGCGAATAACGGGTTCAACGAGCGTAAATAAGTTTTTGGTGCTTCTGAAAGACGTCTGAGGACCTGAGCACCCTTTAAGTGTCGGGGTTAAGGTTTCCTGAAGGCGGTTTCAGAGGTGTCAGATGTCTGCATGGGATCTCTGGGGTTCGGAAAGAGCTTCCAGGTTTTAGTGTGGTGGGTTAAAAACTGCTGCAAACTTTTATTGTTTCTACTCGTGTGTAAATTCTTGTAAAGGGAAGACAATAAAAATAATTGAAATGTATTTGGCCTCCCAGCAGGTGACTGGCTTTGATACAACACATGTCTCAGCTCCGGTGAAGCATTACGTCATTGAGTGGTGTGTTTGTGTAGAAGGGAAACCTGCTTTTCTTGGCTGCAGCCCGAAAGCCGGACAATGTCTTGGATTTAAATTTCACTCTCATTAAAGTAACTCACTTCTATTCAATGCAGCCGTGTGTGTGTGTTGGTGTGTGTGTTTCTCAGGATTTGTCTATGCGGGGCAGATGGACGCACAAAAAAACACGCACCGACAGTCGATCAAAGGCTTTCTGGGTCTTTATTAGAGCTGCAATCAGGAACTGAATGCAACAAAAACATCAAGGAGTTCCTTTCACAGCGCAAAGCTCAATTTTTAAAGTATGCATTCCAACGAGGCGTAAAGTTGTCCAAGAGAAGAAGGAATGCCCGTTTCTGCTGAATAAATTAGACTTTTTAAATCAACTGTTTGGTTCTCATTGCTAAATTTAAGCTGCTCTAAAAAACGACACTTTAAAGTAGTCAACAAAAGGACTGAAATCCTAATGTATAACATTTCTGATGCTCTAAACTTGTCTGGATAAAAGTCTTCATTAGGTTTAATACCAACAACAGCTGTTTGCAGTAAAACAACCAATAAAGTGATTTTATATGGCTTAAAACAAGTAATAATACAAGTAAGTTCTTAAAAACGTCACTTTTTAATGAGCGCAGCAGTCTCTGATAATTTGACCCATCTTGAAAAGCCTTTTAAAACTCAGTAGGTTCCTGTTTTGTTGGTTTAACCTGCTGCAAACATGATGCATCATCGGACAGCAGCTTCTCACGGCGATCCTGAGGAATCTCAGCCTGATCTTCGTCGCCAAACGCCTCCAGCTCATCAATAATGACGCCTTTTTTAACCATACCAGAGATCTTCTTTAGTAGAGATCCATTTAAAGTGACTTCGATGTTTGAGTCAAGTTGCCATAAAACTGTTGCAATCATAGCATTTTTGAGGATTTTATTAATCTTTCTGCCTACTTCATGTTGTCAGATGGGTCCTATTAAAGTCATAGAGAAACTGCTGTTCTAACTGTTGTAAGTTGTTAGATAACTAACTGGCCTGCATAAGATAACGAAAAAAAAACAGCACAGATTTTAAGACAGAATAGAAATTTTCTAAATTTTGGAACAATACTAGCCTGGGTGCCAGTCCGAACTTAGTCCCGCCCACAAGGTTTGAGTTCGGGGAAGTTCGGTCTGGCTCTGCTCCATAGTAGCGCGAGTATTATCGCCCACTGTCAGGCGATCCAATCAAATTGTCAGGGCGGGCTTTATACGATGATGGACAGATGATCAAGAGTAACGTTATCAACCACGTGACCAAAGCGCGCTAGGGTGACAACAATAATGGCTGCCGCTGGAGAGTTTGGGTGAGTAGATTCTGCTATTAGGTCTGTTCTAGAAGATATTGACAGCAAATTAATTTTAAAAGAGGAACAGAGAAACGCGATCAAGTCTCATCTTCTTATTCTAGGCGTGAAACTGCACGCTTTGATTGTTGTGGACAACAACTATGCCTCGCTTAACATACGTCACGCACTCCGTTGCTCTTATTGGTTGTAGGTCTATCCAATTGAGTGCAGAGGCATTTTTTTCCTGGTTCGTTGAAAACACGCCCCATAATCACAGCTCTATGGAGCAGTATCAGACTCATATTCTGATTAGAATTGAGTCGGACTACGTCAGGCTAGAACAATACCATCTGATAAAGAGTATGTTTATATACATGTTTCAGCCAGAATAATTTGACATTTAAATATGACTTCCCAACGACTTTAAAAAAGGACTCAAAAACCATGATGAGCTTCTAATGAATTTTCATTTCCAAAAACAGATCAATCTAGAAGAACCTGAGGATGTTTCATCATCTGAAAACAGACAAGAACATCTCAGGTTAAGAAATCTCAGTGTTCTCAGTGATTTTAGCCATTCAGAGTTTTCATTCACTGAAAAATGCTTCTACTCTTTAACACAAAAAATATATGAAGACAAAATCCAGAATCTCAGGACCCAGACATTTATTAATGGCATCTGGATTCATTAAACTCTGCCTTAAAAATGTTACAGAAACACTTTATAGAAAGCTATTAAATGTCTTAAACAAATATTGAGTGAAAACAGTAAAAACTCTGAAATGTTGATGTTTTCCACAACTTTAGACACTTTCAGCATGTTTTAGCAGCAGAGGCTCTGATGAAAACTCTGGAAAGGCTGTAAACCTCTGAGACAAACCTCAGAACATGCTGCATTAAGGCTTCTAAAAAAAAAAAAAAAAAGCGTAGATTTAGACTAAAAAACAATTAATTGAAGTGAAAATTAGGATTTTAAAAGAAACTTTAGAGACTCTGAATGAGCTAAAACCTAAACCCTCTTTAAGTAAGGAAATATTAAAAGAAATCCTAAACTTTTCAAAGGATAACAATCCTAAAACATCCTACAAATATATGTTCTTTAGAAACTTCTAAAGGTAATGATTTTTTTGTACAACAGGAACAGCCTGGTTATTATTCCCTCTGGAGAATAATCTGACCATCTTAATTTCCCTGAAAAGAACCTGAAAGAAAACTTTAAATCATTTTGGAATGCCGGCTCCATGTAGGAATTTAAGCTCATGTGGACCCAAAACCCTTCCCGAAAATTTCCAGACCTTCTTTTGATTTTCCAGATGCATTCAAAGTATTTATTTCAGCTTCGGCATACATTCTTAAACTTTATTTTTGTGTAAATCTCACTTTCATCGCTTTGCTGGGCAATTAATTGCATTTGGAATGTAACTGCAATACAAGTAACTGCTATTTTCAATCAAAGAGGAGGCACTGACTTTTTTCATCATACTAGTTAACAAGATGATACTAATTTCCTCCCTCCAGCCTTAAAATCCTGGAGGGAGGAAAGCACATGCACAGCCCTGTACCTGCTCCCAAGAAGGAACACCTATTTAACGTGTGTGAGAGCGTGCACATGAAGATTTGCAGTTTCTCCACTATGTCAGACTCACCACCAGTAAGTGAAAATGGGAACGAGCATGTAGGACGTCCTTATGTAAACATATCACCAGAATGATTGACAATAAGGAGGACCACTTATTTGGATACCCAACTCGGAAAAAGAACATCCTCCACTATACCTTAAATGTCAGACCGCCCTACACAATATCAGACCGGCCTACACGACATTTACTGCCCTACATGACATCAGACCACCCTACACGACATCAGACATCCCTACACAACATTAGACTGTTCCCCACACAACATCTACAGCTCTACACGACATCAGACCGCCCTACACGACATCAGACCGCCCTACACGACATCAGACCGCCCTACACGACATTAGACTGCGCCCCACACAACATCTACAGCCCTACACGGCATCAGACCGCCCTACACGACATCAGACCACCCTACACGACATTAGACTGCGCCCCACACAACATCTACAGCCCTACACGACATCAGACCGCCCTACACGACATCAGACCGCCCTACACGACATCAGACCGCCCTACACGACATCAGACCACCCTACTCGACATTAGACTGCGCCCCAAACAACATCTACAGCCCTACACGACATCAGACCGCCCTACACGACATCAGACCACCCTACACGACATTAGACTGCGCCCCAAACAACATCTACAGCCCTACACGACATCAGACCGCCCTACACGACATCAGACCACCCTACACGACATATGACTGCGCCCCACACGACATTTACAGCCCCACACGACATTTACAGCCCCACACGACATCAGACTGTGCCCCACACAACTTCTACAGCCCTACATGACATAAGACCGTCCCACACCACATCAGCTGGCCTACACCACATCAGACCGTCCCACACAATATCGGACCGCCCTACATGACATCAGGCTGCCCTAAACGACATTAGATTGTGCCCCACATGATATCTACCGTCACACACGACATCAGACCACCCTACACAACATCAGACCGCCCTACACCACATCTAACACCCTACACAACATCAGACCGTCCCACACGACACCAGACCGTCCCACATGACACCAGACCGCCCTACACGACATCAGACCGCCCTACACGACATTAGATTGTGCCCCACATGACATCTACCGTCACACACGACATCAGACCGCCCTACACCACATCAGACCGCCCTACACCACATCTAACACCCTACACCACATCTAACACTCTACACGACACCAGACCGCCCTACACCACATCAGACCGCCCTACACCACATCTAACACCCTACACCACATCTAACACTCTACACGACACCAGACCGTCCCACACGACATCAGACCGTCCCACACAACATCTAACGCCCTACACTACATCAGACCACCCTACATGACATCTAACGTTCTACACTACATCAGACCACCCTACATGACATCTAACACCCTACACCACATCTATCACCCTACACAACATCTAACACTCTACACGACACCAGACCGTCCCCACAACATCTAACGCCCTACACTACACCAGACCGCCCTACATGACACCAGACCGCCCTACATGACATCAGACCGCCCTACATGACATCTAACGCCCTACATGACATCAGACCGCCCTACATGACATCTAACGCCCTACATGACATCAGACCGCCCTACATGACATCTAACGCCCTACACGACATCAGACCGCCCTACACGACATCAGACCGCCCTACACGACATTAAACTGCCCTATACGTAATCAGACTGCCCTATACAACATCAGACCGCTTGAAGCACTCTGTTCATATCATCAAAATTGACAAACATCCTATTAAACCCAGATCCTTATGCTGCCATCACTATGCTGTACTAAAGGTGAAATGAAATTACGCCCAAATTTAGCTTGTGATGCTGATTTATTTTACCCATGTCCAGACTGATACTGAATCTCAAAGGTACAGAAACGTTTGGCACTGAGAGCTGTGTCCGATCTCAGGAGGTTTCTGCATCCTGGAGGGTTCAGAAATGGTTTGATTTGATCCCGTTCTCGAAGTTTGGGAAAGACCTGAACTGGCAACTCACAAGACATAAAGACCACCTCTAATATTCACAATTCATCTCCAGAGATCTAGTCAGAGAAGGGAGTCTGTTAGGTAGGTGGTCATAATGTTAAGCCTGGCTGGAGGATCTAAACAGCCTCCCAGAGAAATATTTCCCAGGAAAAAGAACCTCTTCATACAGACTCAGAAACTAGGAGATACTTCAAGTAGTTCAATGCTCATCTAATGAGTTTGAGAGGAACTTTTTTTTGTTTTTTGCCTGCCCTCCCTGACAGGCGCAGGCCCGAGCAGACAGGTGTTCTGTTTCCCAGAGCAGGAACATGTGTCCCCCTCCCTTTACACAGCAGCAGCTCTGCTTCCCCCCCCCATCATGACTCACAGGTAGGAGGTGAACACGCTCAGGTTGCTCGGTATCTCCCGCAGCCCCAGGTCCGAGCAGTCCGCCCGGTGCAGCAGCCCGTCCCCCTCGCAGCGGCAGCGGTCAGGGCAGGTGGTGGAACCGTTCACCGCCTCGCTCTGCCTCCTCACTCCGGCCTCGGAGCTCCTCGACCCGGCCAAGAGGACCGCAAAGGCGGCCAACAAAGCCCCGAGCCCCCGCATGTCCCGCATGGGTGAAAGTTTCCTGCGCAGTGACAGGAGGAGAAAAGTTTCTGCTCCAGGTGTTGGTGGCTCCTCTGATGAAGGAGGGCTGTGGGCTCAGGTTTGCAGCTTGGTGTGTTTCCAGGCTGAACGCGTGGATCTGAGTGTGTGTGAGTCCCTCCACGCACTCACAGCCGCGTGAAAAAGCCGTCCACTTATATACAGCCTGCCCCTCAGCTCACAATGGGAGGGGGGCAGAGTCCCAATAATCTGTGATTTAATCCATCAGTTGAGGGGGAAAGAATGTGTTAACTAATTATGCTGAAAAAGGCTGCTGCATCTTTACCCTCATGATTTTGAACATTATTATTTAAACATTTCAATAAGAGAATTTAGGTTTGGAAAATAGTATAAAAAGTATAAGTGAACTGATTTTTAAATAATATTTCACTTTAATATGGGGAAAAAGTCAGAATTCTGACCTTAATCTCAGAATTCTGACTTTTTTTTCCTCTGAATTCTGACTTTTTTCTTAGATTTCTCACTTTTTTCTCGTAATTCTGAATTTAATCTCAGAATTCTAACTTTAATCTCAGAATTAATCAGTTTTGAACCACACGTCCTCGAAAGCCCAGTCAGCATCCAGTGGTTGTGCTATGTCCAATTTCAATTCATGAAACTGTTTCAACCCACTTCCAGCCCCTCCTCCACCTTCTTAGCTAAAGCTTCATCAGAGTGTCATTCCTAATGCGTTCCGTGTCTCATCTTAACCGGTCCGGCAGAAGACGGGTTAAGGGTTCTGCCAGAGGTTTCTTCCCAAGTTTGAGTTTTTCCTCTCCACTGTTGCTTCATGCTTGCTCATCATGGACAGGTTCTCACAACCAGTGTTATCCAAGCTTCATCTTCCAGCTTCCCTGAGTGAAGTTCTAGTATCAGCTCACGCAGTCCATTGGATCTCCACATAAAGCTCAGCAGACCGTCTCGCTAACGTAATGTTCACAGGTACAGAGCAACGAAATGAATTCTCTGCAACTTAACCCATCCCCTTTGGGAGCAGTGGGGGGTTAAGGGTCTTGCTCAGGGACCCAGAGTGGCAGTCTGTGAGGGTGGGGGATCGAACTCACAATCTCAGGATTCAAAGCCCTATGACCTAACAACTAGGCAACCACTCCCCCACTGTATGTCAGTGACACCACCAGGGGCCATGGCCACCCTGTGCAATCCCATCACTGGCCAGTATAAATTGTAGTAGCATCAGTTTAGCATTTCATCCCATTATGCACAGCCATAACGTAACATTAAAAATAACACAATAAACCAAAGCATGAGTAGGTGTTTATGAGTTCTACAGGCAGGTTTACCACAATAGTCGATTCAAACCCTGAAATTATGGCTTTTAGTTTTAGTGGCCCCATCTGGCCCCCCATGAAACATTTCTGCAGGCTCCACTGCTGGACGTCCCGTCACCCTAAGGATTGTGGGAATCTTTAGCTCCTACGTAGCGGTCACTTGGGAAGAATTTTGCTTCCTTCTTGCACTTTGCACGTGTCCTAACTGATTTTCTTTGGCATCATGTTTATTCCTTTACTAAAGGTCTGATCCCATATGAATTAATGATCTTTCCCCCGTACTAGTGGGCTAGAGAACGTTGCTAGTTTCCAGCTTTTCTTAACTAGCTGCTGATTTTGCATGCAGCATTTTATTCTTTTGGGCAATAGTATTATTAGCCATGTTAGCATGCACAAAATGTCACAATTGGATTTAAATATATTTGGGTTAAAACACAAAAAATGGCTGAGTTTTATGCCATTTTATGCCATTGAGTTTTATGAGTTATCGTAATAAAATAGCAGACCAGACTAAAAATAAACAATATCTCATGTTGACACGAGCTAACTCAGGCCAACCTGCCTTATACAGCTTTACTTGATCGTTGAGTGTTTACATACGTGCCAATCAGAGTATTCATCCATTTTCCATCAGGCGTATCCCAGCTGGGGTGGTGAGGGGTGCTGGCGCTTATATCTCCAGCTGTGTACGGGCGAGAGGCAGGGTACACCCTGGACAGGTCGCCAGTCATTCGCAGCCAATCAGATTATCAGTCGGCATAAACCAGCCGTCTGAATGGAATCATATATTCCACTGTCATGTTTACATGATGCATTTTTAGCCGATTAAGCGATTTATTCACCTCCATCTAAAAGTAGCTGTTTAGTTTGTTTGTCTATATATTGTGGTTTTGCATGACTTTTTAAATGTGCTTTGAAACAATGTATTTACAGCGTTTGCACCCCTTTGGCCTTGAACGTTAAAGGCTTTACCTTTAAAAGTATTTCTGATTCTGATTGACCTGCACTAGAGGAAAAAACTAAAATACAGCAGAAACTTTTAATAATTTTAAACTTCTGTATATTTCTGATTTGGAGCTTCAGTTCATTTGTTTTCTACTTTGGGTTTCTTTTCTAAAGCTTCTCTCAACAGTTGGGTCAGGTTCTTGAGGCCTCTTTGCTCACACACCTTCATTTAGGTGCAACAACACATTTGTAACAAAGCTGAGATCATGGCCACGAAAAACTGGTATAAAAATAAGAAAAACTTAAAGTAGATGCATTTACTGTCATTTAAGTAGGTACATAATATGATCTGCCAAATTTAATTAGTAATTTTTTCTATAAAATAAGTTAATTAGATATTATTCACCTTAAGCAAGGTAACAGTGTTTTTTTTTCTTACTTTAATTATAAATCACCATATTTATTGGCAAATTATCTTGTCCAGCTGCTTAAAGAAAGAACAAATACACTTAATTCAAGAAAAAATTTAACAATTTATTAAGAATTCAGTTTTTGCAGTACACAAGCCGTTAGTCTGCCAGGATTTTCTTAAAATGTAATGATGGGAATTATGTTTAAAAACTTAAATTTAATTTAATCAAACCACAGGAAATGTCTCCAAAAACCAACGATTTTGTACCCATTTTTTTTTTTTATCTTTAATCTAGGTGTTCATGTTCCTTTTAATTTAATGGCTTCTTCATCTCTGAGCGGCACTTTAGATGGAATACAAAGATAAATGGAAATCCTAAGCTATCTCTATAGTTCTGCTGCTACAGGCTTAGACTGCTGGAGGACATAGGGACCCCCATTTCATCATTCTGTTTCATTCTTTCTCTATTCTCCCACTCTGCAAAATTTGTTAGTTCCATCTCTAACGTTATGCTCTCCCTGCTTTTCTCATATTAGCTTCATCTGGTCTGTTCCTGTTTGGCTGTGACTCCATCCTGGAGAGAAATATCAGCTGCCCTTTGTATATTTGCTTCTTTCTGTATCTCTGCTTCTGTCTCTTTGAACCCCAGACGGCCTCGGCAGATGGCCGCTCACACTGAGCCTGGTTCTGCTTGAGGTTTCTTCCTGTTAAAAGGGAGTTTTTCCTCTCCACTGTCACAACACGCATGCTTGGTGTGAGGGATTACCTTCAAGTCAATGCAATCAATTGGTTTTCCTTAGATAGAAAACTTTTTATTAATTTGACTGGATGATCTGGTTGAACTGTAACGTGCCTTGAGATATAAATAAACTGAATTGAATTGAAATAATTTACCTAATTAAAGCAGTGTGAGTTGAATAGAATAAAAAGATTAAACAAATTCTTAATTTCTAATCAGCTTTCAGATGTTCAGATGATGATCAGATTTAATACAATACAACACAATTTTTTTGTTGTTGATGTTTGTTGGCCCGTGTGAACAGTTTTTGTTGTTCTCTCCTATTACCTGTATTTTCTGATTTGAATCCATCTTTCCATGCTTTGAAAATCATCTAAACTCATTCAAACCTGAAGTGGAGCTTAAAAAATCAAACAAATAAAAAAGGTCTTGGTTTAAAAATGTTTTTAAGTTGAAATAAAAAAAATTTAACTTAAAGGTTTAGAGAACATTGTAATGACCGGTGAAGACATCACACCCCCTGGATTCGTTCAAACAGGGACCTCCAGACATGGATCTGGTTCTCCAGAAGTTCTGCTCATAACCCGGTTCTCAGTGGCACTAAAGCGGAGACACATCTAACCCTTTGATGCCTGTCGTTGCTAATAGCAACAAACCACTTGTATTACACTGCAAAACATGGAAATCTAAGTAAGTCAGTTTTTTCTTAACATTTCTTTTCTCTTCTTTCAAGTGCATAATATCTAATTATCTTATTTTAAGGGTAAAAATGCTCATTCCATTGGCAGATCATCTTATTTTCCTTCTCATATTAAAGGTAAATACACTTATTTTAAGACATTTTCAGAACATTTTTGCAGTGTAAGCAAACAGTCGCCATAGCGTTTCTGCATCACTCCAGTGCTAGTCACAGTGTACGTTATTATGTAGTTATAACTGCTGTTACAAAATATACTTTATCTTCATTTCTATTTATTTAGTAACAGTAACTATTTTAATTTGGCATCTCGTTGAAAGGAAAAACACACAAAATGTCTTTTTATATGTACATGAATATCAATTCAGGCTTCAAGGGGCTAAAATTAGCAGGACGTCCATCTTTTAGGACACAGCTGCCTCAGATCAGGGCACAGTCAGGGGATTAGAATGGTCTAGTCAAAGGCCTAAAGCTAACTGAGAATCTGTGGAAAGTCTATAGAGCCCAAAACGTTTAAATTCAAACCTCAAACACCTGCAGCTGAATTTAAAGATGGCTGCTGGGAGACTAAAAACAAACGTTTTTCAGATTGTTTAAACATTCCTTCAGATTAGACCTGATTTCCATCCTCTGCTGATTCCTTTAGGAATCCAATTAGTTTATAACTTATTTTAGTATCATTTTCTGCACTACTGTGGTGTCATTTCTTATCAGTTTATGTTCTTTAAAAAATCTTTTTAAATAATTTTTTAAAATATTTATCTCATTCTTGCATCTTTCCCTCCCTTTTTTTTTTCTTCTATTGTAATGTTTGTGCAGTCACTCTTTCACTGGATTTTTGGCAGATTTTTGGTCCCAGATTACAAAAATAAGTAATCTTTGTAATCTGGTGCTTCTTCCATGTTTACTATCCAACAACAGACACATTTTGCATATAATATGACTATTAGACCTTGATGAGGAAATGGAGGACATAACGGACTTCCTGTAGTAATCCCCTTCTCTTGTAAATAATTTCCAGCGAAGTAATTCTGTGTTCAGGGTTTTTATTTTACCTTGGTTACGTGTCGTCACCAAGCAGAAGCGGGTCTGATCCTCCCAGAGACTGAAGAGCAGCGGCTCTGGGTTAATGATTAGTGCGCTTCATTTCCTGTGTCAGTGTGTTTTATGAAAATAAGACAAAGAGTCTTTCTATGACAGAAAGGACGGTGGGGGGCAGAAAAAGGTGAGATATGAAGATGTTATCAGACCTTCACAGAGGCTCGAATGATGCAACATGAGGCAACCTTAGGAGTAAAACACAGATAGCAACTCCCGCCTTCATTTAAAGGAACTGTTAACCATAAACTGACTTTTCTAGTTGCACTTTTTTTTTTTTTGTTGTAGGACAAGTTGTAGATTTTTAGCAGAGTTCTAAAGGTGAGCTAGAAAATAATTTACTGAAGTTAAAACTCAACTTTAAAATAAATAAATAGATAATGCAAAAAAAATGAGGTGAAATCTAGAGGAGAGCAACATTTCTATAAATTCCTTTGTTTTTTTTTTTTAAAGGCGGCACCAAAATTTCTTTTTTGCAACAAAAACCTTATATACCGGTATATATATATATATATATTGCCTAGAAATGAAATATTGTAGCAAAATGAGTTTTTGCAACAAAAAGACAAAACTTTTATTTGTGTAATAATTTTTGGAACACAACTAGATTTTTATTGCAAAAAAAATAAATAAATAAATAAAAAAGCATTTTTTTCTTTTTGCTGCAAAGGTATATTTTTGCTAAAAGCTGCATTGCAAGACGTTTCCATGTTGTTTTGTTTCCAGTTTTCCATAAATCCCCCCATGCATTAGTCAACTAGAACCTGTACGATTTTATTATACTTGTTATCTACGACGTAAGGAAATGTGGCTGCAATAAATAAGTGACCTTTTAAGGATCAAAGTCTGTTAGATTTCATCATTCATTCATTTTTTTTTTTGCAACAAAAATCTTTTTTATATATATATATATATTTTTGCCTAGAAATGAAATATTGTTGCAAAAGAATTTTTTGCAACAAAAAGATAAAATTTGTTTTTTTGCAACAAAAATCTTTTTTATATATATATATATATTTTTGCCTAGAAATGAAATATTGTTGCAAAAGAATTTTTTGCAACAAAAAGATAAAATTTGTTTTTTTGCAAAAGAATTTTTGCAACAAAACTAGATTTTTATTGCAATTCTTTTAAAATAAAGAAACCTCTTTGCAGCAAAGCTCCTTTTTGTTTCAATAATCTACTTTTTTTTTACGTTGTTTGTTTTTTTGTTGTTTTAATGTTAAAGAACTTTCATTTCAATGAACAACAACACTTTGACAGATGGCATCACAGTGGGGATATTTATTCGGTAACATCAGCACCTTGCTGGTTGATAACAGAGTGTTAGAGGATTTATAGTTTGGGCTCCTTTTGCATCTTTTCTCACTAGTGGATGTCCCAGAAAATTCATCCTTAAGATGGGACATGTCTAGAAGTCGAAAGTTCCTTCTAAGACGGTTCAATTGTTCATCTTAGATCAGGCTTATAGGAAACAGTTTAAGCAGAAAGTCTCCTTTCTCCTAGAGAGAAAAGTGGCGTCATGGGTTTGGTTTGAAAAGCTTCATCTGAATAAAGAAATACGTAAGAAGCTGAGACCAAAGCTATTACCATGTTTGGAGAAAATCAAACTGTGAAGCACGGTGTTGAGGAGTGATGGTCTGGGCTTCGTTTGCCATAATTGGGTGGACTTTGCACTCCTTTGTGAAATAAAGCATTCTAGAGGAAGATGGAGACATTAAAAGCTTTTTTTTTTCAAACATACACTATATTGCCAAAAGTATTTGCTCACCCATCCAAATTATTGGAATCAGGTGTTCCAATCACTTCCATGGCCACAGGTGTATAAATTCAAGCACCTAGGCATGCAGACTGTTTTTACAAACATTTGTGAAAGAATGGGTCGCTCTCAGGAGCTCAGTGAATTCCAGCGTGGAACTGTGATAGGATGCCACCTGTGCAACAAATCCAGTCGTGAAATTTCCTCGCTCCTAAATATTCCACAGTCAACTGTCAGCTGTATTATAAGAAAATGGAAGTGTTTGGGAACGACAGCAACTCAGCCACGAAGTGGTAGGCCACGTAAACTGACGGAGCGGGGTCAGCGGATGCTGACGCGCATAGTGCGAAGAGGTCGCCAATTTTCTGCAGAGTCAATCACTACAGACCTCCAAACTTCATGTGGCCTTCAGATTAGCTCAAGAACAGTGCGCAGAGAGCTTCATGGAATGGGTTTCCATGGTCGAGCAGCTGCATCCAAGCCATACATCACCAAGTGCAATGCAAAGCGTCGGATGCGGTGGTGTAAAGCACGCCGCCACTGGACTCTAGAGCAGTGGAGACGCGTTCTCTGGAGTGACGAATCGCGCTTCTCCATCTGGCAATCTGATGGACGGGTCTGGGTTTGGCGGTTGCCAGGAGAACGGTACTTGTCTGACTGCATTGTGCCAAGTGTAAAGTTTGGTGGAGGGGGGATTATGGTGTGGGGTTGTTTTTCAGGAGCTGGGCTTGGCCCCTTAGTTCCAGTGAAAGGAACTCTGAATGCTTCAGCATACCAAGACATTTTGGACAATTCCATGCTCCCAACTTTGTGGGAACAGTTTGGAGCTGGCCCCTTCCTCTTCCAACATGACTGTGCACCAGTGCACAAAGCAAGGTCCATAAAGACATGGATGACAGAGTCTGGTGTGGATGAACTTGACTGGCCTGCACAGAGTCCTGACCTCAACCCGATAGAACACCTTTGGGATGAATTAGAGCGGAGACTGAGAGCCAGGCCTTCTCGTCCAACATCAGTGTGCGACCTCACAAATGCGCTTCTGGAAGAATGGTCAAAAATTCCCATAAACACACTCCTAAACCTTGTGGACAGCCTTCCCAGAAGAGTTGAAGCTGTTCTAGCTGCAAAGGGTGGACCGACGTCATATTGAACCCTATGGATTAGGAACGGGATGTCACTTAAGCTCATATGTGAGTCAAGGCAGGTGAGCAAATACTTTTGGCAATATAGTGTATCTTGTGTGGTTTAAAAAATATTTGGTGTGCTGAGGTGTCGGTCATCTAGGTTTCAAAGCCCCTGTTACTGAATTGCGCCACCATGTGGATGGGAGGGACTCTACAGGACTACTGTGTCTTTAACTGTGTGTGAAATATTTTCTTTAGGTTTATTTTTTCTGATCTGTTTTTAAAACGTGTGTTGTTTTGTTCCTATTTTTATGCATTTCCTTCTTTAAAGCTTTTTGTCGAACCGTCTCTATTCGTTTTGGGCATTCATTTCTCTATTTTTAGCTGCGCCTGTTCAGCAATTGATTCATAATTTCTGAGTTCCATTGCACCAATGGTTTCTGCTTGGTTTAAATCACTATGCAAAAATAACCTATTAAATATTTGGGTAAATAGCTACACTTTAATCTTGCTTTGATTGTTTATAGGTTTTTACAGCAGAAATAAAGTCTACTCTGTTTGAAATAAAAATCTCCCAATAACATTTAACTTTTACCATTCATTTAAATCCTTTTGCTGCTAGATGATGATGTTTTTTGGTGAAACACTGACCTCTTCTGGTTGGGCAGCTACATTGCAAGAAGTTTCCAGGTTGTTTTGTTTCCAGTTTTCCATAAATCCCCCCCATGCATTAGTCATGTGGTACCTGTACGATTTTATTATACTTGTAATCAACGCTGTAAGGAAATGTGGCTGCAATAAATTAGGGATTTTAGGATCAAAGTCTGTTAGATTTCATAATCCAAGTGGGAATAAGGAATAAATTGGATAAATATATGGAAATATGATTTAATTCCTGATATTTGAGCATTTATATTTATCTGTTTAAGAGCGATAATGAACTACGGAGGTACGAAGAGACGAACGGAGCCTGAACTTCTCCGATGTTTTCCTCCTTCAGCCTGTTTGTTGTCCCTGAGCCAACGTGAGAAACTCCAGCAGCTTTGACGGCCCTAATCACGTGATACTGCAGAGAGAGATTACAGCGAAGATGTCTCACTCTGGTGGAACTTTTAAACTCTAAGTTCAGGAATTTTCTTCTTATCAGTTCTGATATTAACTATTCACTTCATGAAGTAGTTATTAAAAATGAGAAAAAATATATTTATAATAAAAACTCAGAAAAATAAAAGAAATTGTAGTTTACAGAGAAGGGGGATCTTACTTTGCATATTAAAGAGTGAAATAGTATATGAAGATGCAACAACATAAATCAAAACATATTTATATTTCGGAAGGTGTAATGTGACTGAAAAACTATCATAGTTTAGTTGTTTTGGCCAAAATTAAAATAATCGTTATTAGTCTCTAATAATCGTCAGATTTGTGGAGTGAAGGACTTATAGTTGAGCTGTGAGGTTTGCACCTGAGCAGCAGATCTCTATATAGCTCATCCAGAGTTACCATCTGCCCCTCAGCTGCTTTTTCCATTAACTTTGCTCACTATTATATCAACTAGTAGAATCAGTAATGACTTCAGCTGGACTCATAAAAATAGGTGATTAAAAAATGTCCACTGAGTTTTATTTTTGTTATTATTTTTTTTATATTATTTTTAAAAATCAATTAAATGCTTTAAAGTTAGTTGTTTTATTGCAAGAACCTCTATTAGGCATTAAAGTAAGGAAAATTACCTCAGACAAATATATGTCTTTTTTTGTGTATGCGTGAGATCCATGATCAACACGGCGTAAGAGCAACACTGAAATTTTTCGGAGTGAGTCATCATGTTGAAAATTGACGATCTTGGTTAAAGCTAGCCGGCTAGCTGTTAACGCAGACTGACGCCATTAGTTTACAGCAAAGAAAGCGTAAGAACCGTGAGAAGCGACCCGGTTCCGATTTTAGACCGGTTCTCCTGTCGGTTTGGACCGCTGCTGTTCGCGGTTTGGGCCGTGTGAGCTGTCAGAGAGCCGCTCTTATGATTTTAGCCTAATTTATAAAGTCGGAAGTCGGTTTAAGGTTCGAACTAAGTTAGCATTGTTAGCAGCTCGACAACAAACGTCTCTTTTTTTTTCTGGAAATAAATACCCAGGGGGAGTATTTTCTAAACTAAAGTGAGAAGATGGCAGCAGCGGGGGCGGCCGGGAGCGGCGGCAGAACCTACTCCTTCAAAGTGGTGCTGCTGGGGGAAGGCTGCGTGGGGAAGACGTCGCTGGTGCTGAGATACTGCGAGAACAAATTCAACGACAAACACATCACAACCCTTCAGGTAAACCGAACCGAACCCACCGAACCGGGCTGCTGGGGAACCCAAGCCGCCCTTTTGGGGGTTAGCAGGGCCGTGGCTGGAGCCCGGGGCGGGGAGGGGGAGGAGGGGGGCGGTCAGGTGGTGTTTATGTTCATCCAGAACCTGGACTGGTTCTGGTTTCACTTCCACAGGAAACATGTCTGGAAGATTTGAATATCATTTCCATTAATTATTTTCATCTGCACACGTTTGCTGAAAGAAGGCGAAGGCCTCCGACTGGGATTACGGATTAGGAATATTTGATATATTCCATTGGGATTAATATCACCAAAAACACATTTTTATGTAATTCTGAACTTAAAGTATTTTCTTTTTAAACCTTTATAGGACACTCTGTGAAATACTTTGAAAATTACAAGCCAATAGTGTTATTGGAATTCAGGATAAGACCTTATTACCTTTGTAACATTAAAAGAATATGGATTATTTTCATGGAAAAATGAAAGTCAACACCAACTTGCTCGAGTATGTTAAGAAAAATAAAAGTGGTTCTATTAAAAAAACCATGAAAAACACTGAGAGAGAAAGAAACGCATTTTTTTTGGTCTAACATAACCTTAGAGGCATTAATGCTGAAACTGGCACTTACATTTTTTAGTTTATAAACCTAAATATAATTGTTTACTAGGCTTATTTACTTTTAATTTAGCTTTTTACCTTTTTTTACTGATTTTTTTTTTTTAACCTAATTTCCAGTAGGTAATATATCATTCAAATTGGTCAAATGCCAAAAGAACATGTTCTGCCATGTAGCAGCATCTTTGCTGATTGGCTGGACATAGATCTTGTGCTTCTAGAACTCACTAAGTCACGGTTTAGGAAGCTGAGTGTGTTTTCAGCCCCACTGGCTCAGTGTTTTGGTGCTGGGGGGATTTCCAGCTTTTTCTCTGAATCGGATTGAATAAAGAGCCTCTGTGAACATCACAGATCAGGTTTTATTCTGGACTCTTCCAGGATTATTTCATCTAGACCACCTTAATGTGGTTCTCCAGCTGAAGCTGAACCTCCAGCCCAGACTCTGGTTTTCTGTAGCCTTTTCTTCCCAGGATTTGGCTCCGTTTATCTTCCCTGCACCTCCTGAAAAGAAAGCTTCCCCACAGCCTGATTATGCCACTACCATACCTCACCATTAGGCAAGGTGGGATCTCATTGTTGTGTATTGAAACGGATGAACGGGTCCACCCCTATTCTGAAGCGGTGGACCCTTTCGTCTGTTTCAATTTGCACAGGAAGCAGAACGTCTTCTTGGAAACAAAGTCCAGTGGATTATTTTTTTTTTACTTTTTTTTTTTTTTTTACACTATCGTCTGGACTTTATTGAAGCCTGCAGAGACGGAGGTGAGGTTTTGGGATGTTTGACATCTGTCCAGTTAAGGGAGGATTGGCTGTGATTTCCGCTCCTGGGAAGATAAACAGCTGTTTCTCTTGGTAATAACCAGAAAGCTGATCCCGTCATGGTCACATGTCGCTGACGGATCGTCTTGGTTCTGCTGCATTTTCTCATCATCAGTCGGAGCTTTCTTTTTTCTTTTTGAAACTATTCGGAACTTCAAGTGAGGACTGTTGTTTTTTTTTTTTTATTCATATATTTTTTTAAACTCTGGGTAATGTGACCCTCTGCTAGGCTGTTAATTGGTGATGAAGCTTCAGATCTGCTGATTGTCGGTTTCAAATGGTCATCAGGTCTCACCTTCAGGTTTTAGGAGAAAACAAAAGAGAAACGGCACAATGGCGAAGGGTTCAGTCTAACGGGAACATCTTACAGAAAGCTGCTCATTCATTAGCTGCTGGTGGAAACGGTTCAGCCTGACTCTCATTCACTAAAATCTAAGCTGACCTATACCGTCAGTGTGAAGGCGGCTGCTCTGGGTAGAGATCAAACCTGGCTGGTTGGTCTGCTATGGATGCTCCTCCTCTGCAGGAACGCATCAGGGGGAGATGGATGGATGGATGGAGGAGGTTCACTTCAGCAGGAGAACCAGGCAGAGATACAATAGATCAGGGGTAACCAATAAAAATCACAAAGAGATTTTCAATTATAATCTCTTACTTTAACACAGAAATAAAATTTGGTTTTTATGCATCCATGTTATACATTGAATTAATAGAAAAAATAGAAAATTTTTCCATTTTAAAATCTAACAACAATCGTTAAGTTTGGTATATAGACAATTTCCTGATTCACATTTTTCATAAAACACCTGAACTGACCTTTTTTTTTTTCTTTTTTCTGTCTTAATGTTGGCAGTGGGCTTTATGCTGCCCTGCAAGGCTTTAAACCTGGTTTGAATGGAGACTAAGCCATTCTAAAGCACATATCAAGGAGCTCATTTTGAGCCTGGATCCATATTTATTTTTGATTCTGTTCATGGTGGAGAATCCTGCTTCACAGCAGCAGGTTGAGCCAAACATCCTCTAAATGTTCAGGGTCATCTTTGAGCACCATTTCACTTTTCTTTCACCAGTTCACTGCAGTTCTTCCAGCAGTCCACACTTTCTCTGCTCTCTTTTTCTCATCATCTTCTCCTTCTTTCCCATCGCCTGGTTTGCCCCATGATTGCCTGCTGTGTCTAAAAGTAGCAGCAGCAGCAACCCAGACTGACAGCAGCTCATTGGATCATTTGGATCACATGTAGCCTGGTGCCGGACGCTCTGGAAGGCTTTACCGTATTAACAGGAGAAGAGGCACAAGTGAAGTTAGACAATGTCGTTGGACAACCTGCGGTACTATATAAATGATTTAAATCAGGTTGGGTCCGGATCCGGACTGCGGTCCGCTAATACGTGACCTCTGCTTTAGGTGGTTCTGATCCAAGCATGGCCTAGTCAAAGCCTAGACCTAAACCAAGTATTTAATCATTTTATTTTTTTAGAAATTCACGTAATCCTTCTGAGATCATTATTTTACAAATTTGATAAAAATGTTCTTAAATTTGATTAAAATGTTGTTTGGTCTCTAGAAATCAAATCCTGATTGGATACGTGAAGGTTTGATGCTTTGATATGAATGTTTCTTTTTTTTCTTTTTTTAAACCTGTAAAGCTTTTCTGCGGTTTAAGTAAATATTGACCTCAGGGCTGCTGACCGTTCCTTAACCTCAGTTCCTGCTGATACTCTTCATTTCCACAAGTTTCAGTCTTTTAGTTCTTACTTCCTACCAGAATGTAAGCAGGGAAAGCTGCCCTAAGACTTTTGCACAGTGTTGTTGATGCCAGACATTAGAGACCAGGTTGATCAAAAAATTGCAATGGCAGCAGAAACCCTGAACGCAGCTCTTTCCCAGTTAGTCCGAGCAAACCTGTTGAACTGTATCCTGGGAATTGTTGAAAGTTCCGGTCTGCAGCCAAGATGTTTGACTGAATCAGAGCGTCTGTGGATGCAGGGAGGCTGCTGCAGTCACACAGACGCCACGGCTGCAGGGCAAAGCTCCTCACATGAGCAGCATCACCGCCGCTCTACATCCCAGGTCTCCAGGAAGACACGCCGAGCGCCAGAAGATGGAGGAACCTGTAATACTGCCGGGTTGTTTGTTTTTGTTTTCCTTTTTGATGAACATTCGGCCGTTTCTCAACACGAGCTCCGCATTAATGAAACCACACGCCTTATCATGGGACTCCATGTTTTTCTTTCCCTTCACAGTCGAAGCGGATCAGACCAGAGCACAACAAGCTTCCATTTAAAGGCCGGGACACTCCTGAGACAACTGCTCATTTAGGCAATAAAAAGCACTTAGGATCAATAAAACAGCTGCTCCAGCTCATTTCATGTCTACAAGGAAAATCTTTCAGGGCATCGTGCCCAAACATCACATCTAATCAGTCAGCGAATAATCTCATCATACACTATATTGCCAAAAGTATTTGCTCACCCATCCAAATTATTGGAATCAGGTGTTCCAATCACTTCCATGGCCACAGGTGTATAAATTCAAGCACCTAGGCATGCAGACTGTTTTTACAAACATTTGTGAAAGAATGGGTCGCTCTCAGGAGCTCAGTGAATTCCAGCGTGGAACTGTGATAGGATGCCACCTGTGCAACAAATCCAGTCGTGAAATTTCCTCGCTCCTAAATATTCCACAGTCAACTGTCAGCTGTATTATAAGAAAATGGAAGTGTTTGGGAACGACAGCAACTCAGCCACGAAGTGGTAGGCCACGTAAACTGACGGAGCGGGGTCAGCGGATGCTGACGCGCATAGTGCGAAGAGGTCGGCAACTTTCTGCAGAGTCAATCACTACAGACCTCCAAACTTCATGTAGCTCAAGAACAGTGCGCAGAGAGCTTCATGGAATGGGTTTCCATGGGCGAGCAGCTGCATCCAAGCCATACATCACCAAGTGCAATGCAAAGCGTCGGATGCGGTGGTGTAAAGCACGCCGCCACTGGACTCTAGAGCAGTGGAGACGCGTTCTCTGGAGTGACGAATCGCGCTTCTCCATCTGGCAATCTGATGGACGGGTCTGGGTTTGGCGGTTGCCAGGAGAACGGTACTTGTCTGACTGCATTGTGCCAAGTGTAAAGTTTGGTGGAGGGGGGATTATGGTGTGGGGTTGTTTTTCAGGAGCTGGGCTTGGCCCCTTAGTTCCAGTGAAAGGAACTCTGAATGCTTCAGCATACCAAGACATTTTGGACAATTCCATGCTCCCAACTTTGTGGGAACAGTTTGGAGCTGGCCCCTTCCTCTTCCAACATGACTGTGCACCAGTGCACAAAGCAAGGTCCATAAAGACATGGATGACAGAGTCTGGTGTGGATGAACTTGACTGGCCTGCACAGAGTCCTGACCTCAACCCGATAGAACACCTTTGGGATGAATTAGAGCGGAGACTGAGAGCCAGGCCTTCTCGTCCAACATCAGTGTGCGACCTCACAAATGCGCTTCTGGAAGAATGGTCAAAAATTCCCATAAACACACTCCTAAACCTTGTGGACAGCCTTCCCAGAAGAGTTGAAGCTGTTCTAGCTGCAAAGGGTGGACCGACGTCATATTGAACCCTATGGATTAGGAACGGGATGTCACTTAAGCTCATATGTGAGTCAAGGCAGGTGAGCAAATACTTTTGGCAATATAGTGTATGTGGAGCAGAATCGTAACTCGATCAATCAATTTAACTTTATTTATAGAGCACAGTCTCATCAAGGTCAAAGAAAAGTGACAAATGCATAATACTCCAATAAAAAAGCAGCTTTCTGCTAAGCTTGAATCAGACCTGGTCGGCCTCTGACCTCCGACGCCAAGTAAAAATAATCTGTTTGGACGTGATTCAGATTCTTCGGCTCCACCTGTTCAGCACGCGGACTTTGACTTTCAGTTTCCTGTCAGATAACAGGTTGAGTAACCCGCTGCCTGGAGGCGCTTTGCGGGTTTATGTCTCAAGTTACAGAAGCTGCCGATTTCAACACTGATGTTGGTCAAATGTGGGTTTTCCTTCCTGCAGCAGCTCCAGAGAGGGCAGCTTCACGCCACAGATACAAGGATTCTGACCTGAACGTCCAATCATGAACTCAGCCTGTGGCAATAACGTAAAAACATTTAAGAATTGTTCCTTTAAAACGACTCAAACATGATGTTTCATCTGTGAGAAAATCAGTTTAGAGGCTACTAGTTTGGCTTTTTAAAACTACAATTACAAACCACAAGTTTCTGAGTATGCACTGCAAAAAAGTAGCGGTTTAAAATCCAGAAAAATAAATAAATAAAATCCTCAGAAAAGCTCCTCAAACCAGTGGAAACCATCTGTCCTAGCAGCAAGATGGATCTAAGATTTTAAATCTTGAAATAAGCATGTTGAATATTTTAAAATGAGGAAATGATGTCTAAAAGCGTGATCGACTATCCAGTGTTTATAAATATAAGGTTTTTATTTTATTTTGGTAAGAACCTGCTGGTTCTTCATCACCTTGAAACCAGCTACCGTTGGATTAAAGGCTTTTATCTTCTTCCTCTCCTGCTCATTTAAAGTCATAAGAAAATCATATTTAAATGTCAAATCATTCTGGCTTAAACATGTATATAAATGTCTTAAAATCTGTTTTTTTTTTTATTATCTTATGCAGGCCAGTTAGTTATACATCAGCCTGAACACCTAAATTCGGCCAATCATATATCAACGGTCACCTGTCGATCAAATTTTTTCGGTCCTAACATCTTGATTCATATGTCGCAGCTAATATATCCTTTCCCATTGAGTTCCGTCCCAGTGTTCTTGGGGATGGACGTCTGTGTCTTCAGCAGGCGTAGAGCTAACAGAACTGGCAGCGTTGCGAGGCAAGGGCTCAAACATGTACGGCTGTAAGCCTTCTACACCAAACCAAGCTTCTACCACCTTAGCGTCTTCTTCCACAACATCTTCGTCCCCGCTTTCATCCTCTAAATAAAAAATGGATGACAGAGGAGACTCATCCACGACCAACACTAAACTCTCCTCCTCTTGCATGTTTCCTCTGTCCATAGCGTTCCTTGACAGTGTCGTTTCTAAGTCACCAATTTAGTGCTACTTGGTCCCAATGGAATTTCCCATTGGGAACCTACTAGCACTAAGCTGCTAACTGGTTATCAAGATGCTTGCTTGCGAACTCTCCACCACAACAATCCTGCCCCCTTGATAAACGACCAATCAAGTTCACTTTATTTACTCTTGTAAAGTCGGGCACCACTCAGGAGAATTCGGAAATTCAACGGTTGGAAGAGCTGCTTCCCTCTGACTTTAAATGGCAGAGGCAGTCTGTCTTAGATCGCAGTTCTTTCCATCAAGACTGACAATGATTGTTTTCTATTTTCGGCTACTTTAGATCGCAGATGAAATGTAAAATAATAGCAAATATAGGGAATAATATGTTGAGATTCCAAAAGAGATTTGATCCTTAAGAAACAGGTGCAATACAGTTTGTCCAAGTGGAATTGCCATATGGGGATATCATAAGAAGGGGCGGGGCCCTGAGCAGATCTGACCACCAGAGCACAAATGGTAGCTACAGTTGCTGCTGCAGTTCTTTGGGCCTGACATGTTCCTCTAAAGCAAACAAGACTCCCTAAAATAAAAATGCTTCAATAAAGCTTATTTCACTTCATGGTGTTGAATTTACTCAGGAGTGTTTCAGGTCTGCCTGATAATAATTGGTCTGCATTAGTAGGAAACGATACATCTACAGGCCGATACCCGAGTTGTTCTTATTTGTCAGTTTGGTTTGTTCTTTTGCTGGTTTATTACTTTATTCAGCCGAACATGGCGCTTCTTACATCTGCTGTTGGCGTTTGAAATGTTCATACCTTTTTTTTTTAATGGAAATTTGTGGATGAGGACTGTTATTGAGTAACGGTGGATGAAGAACAGGGTTTCCGTGGGTCATTAAAAATCATTAAATGTCTTTAAATGATTACTTCATAAATTGATGCCTTAACTGGCATTAAAATTCATTAAATGTGATTATCAGTGAGATAAAAATAAAAAAGTTTATAAAAACTTTCGTCAGATATATCAGATATAACTGGTTGCGCATAACCATCGTAAAGCCGTATGTTCGGAAAAGAAGCTGGAAATTGAGGAATTCGGGACATGGCTGCAGTCTGTCGACAGCAAAGATGACGAAGGATTTTGTCAGGTTTTTAATATATACATATATCATGGGTGCTTGTTGATGCCATTAAAATTATTTCTAATAGCATTAAAAGAGCATTAAAAAGCATTATCTTAGAGTAACTCATTACTTTATAAACCCTGTTAAAGTATCAGAAACGTCCAGAAGCGTCTAGATTTACATCAGGTTTCAAGTTTTTCAGTATATTAACTGTTTCTCTTTCTCTGCAGGCGTCCTTCCTCACAAAGAAGCTCAACATCACAGGAAAGAGGGTCAACCTGGCCATCTGGGTAAGGCGTTCTCTTGACATTCTGTGGTGCTGATGTGGTGCGTTCAAGTACCCCACTGAGACCTGATCCTCTGTGTGTGCAGGACACGGCGGGACAGGAGCGCTTCCACGCGTTAGGTCCCATCTACTACAGAGACTCCAACGGAGGCATTCTAGTCTACGACATCACAGACGAAGACTCCTTCCTGAAGGTAGCCACTCCTTCATCGTCCTGCTGCTTCCCTTAAATGTTTGAGTTCACCTTCAGCGTTGACACACCTGGGCTGAATCCCAAACCGGCCTCTAACCACTAATCCTTAACTATATCAAGCGTCACTTGAAATAAAGTCCCACTCACAGCTGTGGGAGGCTGCTGGATTGTACATAAACAGTAATGGGACGGCCTGTTTCCTCCAACCAAAAGGGAAAGCAGCCGTTCCTATGGCAACACAGTGACGCCTCATATGCGTGGCTGTAGCTCTGTAGCGCAGGGTGACATAACATCAAACATTTGCCCCTTTTTTGGAAAACAACCTAGACATTTGGTCTTACTCGTGATTTTCTGTCATTGCGACTCAGATACAGCAAACATTTAAATGAAGGTATTTCCTCCGTGACTAGTTGGCCAGTGCACCCGCTGCCGAACTCCAGCGAGCCTGCACTGATGCAGACTGATGCAGAGGAACAGACTGGATGTAGAGAGCAGCCTGGGATCAGCTGTTTTTCACTCTGAGCTCATTAAAGCAGCTCAGGTGTCTTGATGAAAACAAATAAAACTAAATAAGTCCGTCTAACTATAAATTTTGTTCTGTATTTTGTTTGCAGTTCATCAGATTTAAATGTGATTATAAGGGAGTAACTCAGAGGAGCTCCTGTTTTGTAAATACAGGTTTATAATATGATTTTATTCTGTATTTTATTTCGATTCCTTCCTAACTTCCAGGCAACATATTTATGTTGATTTTTAATTTTTTTTATTTGACATGTAAAAAATAAAAAGCCTGAGAATTAGGTACTCGAATCAAAAGATTAAGTAAAATTGTTTTGTATTTTATAATATGTTATTGTAAATTCCACTTCTGGAAAATCATCAATACTTTTGACTGTTGGGGTAAGAAAAAAGGCCGAAAGGGGAACACAAATAAAAATAAACTGGGAAACACTGCTCTGTTTCATCTGTGTTAGCGCCCTCTGCTGGACACACCCAGAATAATCTCAGCCTTTTAATTCTAGTTGAAGTGAAGCAGACATTTTCTGATGTTCCATTAACTAAAGAATAATTAAGATGCTAACAACATAGAGTGCAGTTAACAGTTTTTTTTCCTAAGGTTTAAATATATCTAAAAATTAATGAGGTTTCGTTTCCTCCTTCAGAATTAACTGCAGTTTGTTTTTTGTTTTTTTAACTGCTTGTTTCCCTGGAGCTGATCTATGCTTTTGTGTCGTTGCAGGTGAAGAAGTGGGTGAAAGAGCTGAGGAAAATGTTGGGAAACGAGATTTGTTTATGTATAGTAGGTGAGTTATCACAGGAACCACAAACAAATGAGCTAAAATAAACTTCAGCTGCAGGAAACTTTTACTGAGCTGAAACGGTTCGGTGTTTCCTACAGACACGTCGAGGCTGTTATCGTCTGCATCTTCTGTCAAACTTTGGGTTTGTTGTGTTGCTGCTGTTGTCATGGCAGCTGCTTTGGTTTTATTGGGGGGGGGGGGGGTTCCAGTCTCTTAACTGGATTAGGATCATGCCATCATGTGTTCAGACCAGATTATCTTCAGCTGGAGGCGGCTGACTGTTTGCTGCTCGTTCATGGAGGGGGGTTCAATTCTGTGTGACACCCGACCTGCTGACCCGGCACCAGGGTTTTCCCCTCGGCTCATATTTAAAGAGCTTTCATCTGTTTCGGTTCCTCTGAGTGACCTAATGTGACGGACGAACGTGGACAGGAGCACAACTGTAAAATGAAACCAAAATAATAAACGGGTTTAATTGTCTTCTTTAAACTAAGGCGTGTTTTGGCTCCTTGGTGCTGAGAGTTATTATTAGTTTTAAGGTTCGTCTCCTGACGGAACTTTTCGCCTTTTTCTCCAGCTCAGGTTGATAGAGAACATCTGTAAACACCAGTTTTCAGCTCCTGCTGTGATTATTTTGTTTTAATTTAAGTCTCTGCTTTGACTGCTCTGCAAAAATTAAAATAAAATAACGCAATTTCATTGAAATAAGTGATTTCCCTTGATTTAACAAGGTAAGTTAGACAATTTACCCAAAGAATCTGATTATGTAGGTTTAAATTTAGAAAAATAACTAGGTCCATTATCTTATTTTAAGGGCAAAGTCACTTTGTTGGCAGATCATCTTATTTAGCAGCTCAAATTAAGGGCAAATAAACAGATTTTAAAAAAAAACTGGTGTTTAGTTTTAGTTGAGTTGTGCAGTTGTCGCCGTTCCAGCACCAGAATCAGATTTGATCTGAACTTTTCACTTACTGGATGTTTAGGTTTGAAAGCTGCCTTTAAAACCCAGGCATAAAAATAAAATATAAACATGCTACATTCTCTCATTTAACTCTTTAACATTTGGATCGTTTGTGTCTCTGCAGGTAATAAAATAGATTTGGACAAAGACAGACACGTCTCGGTGGAAGAAGCTGAGAGGTGAGAACCAACTCGATGCTGCTGCAGCCAGGCGGCGCCAGCGAGTCTCTCCCTGCTGACCTCTATCTTCTGTTTCTGTGCAGCTATGCAGAGTCGGTGGGAGCCAAACATTACCACACGTCAGCCAAGCTAAATAAGGGCATCGAGGAGCTGTTCCTGGATCTGTGCAAACGTAAGAGTCAAGCCTCATCCTGCTGCAGTCAGACCTCTCAGCTTTCTCATGTTCATATCCAGCAGAATGATGCAGAAAAGGCTCCACCTTAACTATTCAGACTGAAGGTTTTTCCTTCAAACTCGGGTTTTTAAGAAAATAGCTGCTCACCAATTAACCCCTTTATCTGAGGGTTAAATCCATGTGTGTGATGTGACAAACTCCAAGTCCAAGGTAGTGATGTCACGAGATGAGCCGAGGCTTCAAGGCGTGTGTTGAATACTGGTGGGGGGCGCGTTTCGAGGCTTGCTTCATTAGGCGGAGAAGCCAAAATAGGTGACGTCCGAGGCCTCGCTATCCCACCATTCCACGTGACCGCTTCGGGAAGTGGTTTAGCTCGCCCGGAAGTTCGGCAGGCATTTAAACAGCCTCACCACTCAGTCAAGATGAGGGAGTTTGTAGGAGCGTTGCTGTCAGTTGGATAGAGTTTGGGTAGATTCTAAGAATAGATTGGTTGTTTTTCCAACCAATCTAGTTGGTTAAAGCTATTTTGGTTAGATTAAACAATGTAATGATTAAAATATGAGCAAGCCACTGGTTACAGTTCTAATATTTGTTTTAAGCAGTTACTATTTTAAGTGTCATAAACTGTAAGACATTGACTTCCAATCCTAAGGTTTGTGTTACGAAGCCCCACCTCAGACTTTTGAAAGTTGTGCAAAAACTTAAGTATTTTTGGCTAATGATACTAATTTGTATTGTTTAGTGCAAATATAGATTGGGTAAAAACTCTGCCAAATGAGATTGGTTGGTTTAACCAAAAGATTGTTTGAACACATAACTTCCAACCAGATTAAAACTGAAAACTTATGTTTGAATAAAAATTATATCTTAAATATCTTTCATTTTGCTCATCATTGCCCACTTTGAACACACACTTTCACTCTCTGCTTGAGCTTATTTCATTCAAATAGCAGAAAAACAGTTTACCTTAAATTATTTTTCTCCTCTAAGACGTTTTACACACAAAAAGCTTCATGAATTGTTGAAGCAATTTGGCCAAATGGCTCAATGCCTCATGAGGCTTCATCTCACCACAAAGCAGACCTCTTGTTGCTTTGATCGTTTTCTGTTCCTATCTTTTCTTTTTTGAAATTGCAGCGAGAGGTTTGGTTCAGCTGCTGCTTCCTTCACATCTTCACTCACCCTCTAAAGAAGCCGGTAAAATGTCTGATTTCTGCTTTTTTTTATTTTTTTTCTCATCAGGGATGATGGAGACGGCTCAGGCGGAGGAGAGAGCGAAGGGAAACGGAGCCAGCCAATCAGCATCGAGTAGGCGGGGCGTGCAGATTGTGGACGACGAGCCGCAGGCCACGCCGGCCGGAGGATGCTGCTCTTCTGGCTAACACACACCCATCCACACATAACCAACACGTTTATCCGTCTGTCATCCAGTTCGTCCGCTCGATAAATAACCTCTGCCGCTGAGGATCATGGGAAATCATATTCAAGTTTGTTTCGTCTGTGTTAGCGCCAAAATAAAAGCCCCTCTGATTTATCCAGGTGTGCTTCTGTAGCAGGTTGATCTCTGTAACGAGCAGCTGCTGTCACATTCAACATGGCCGCTCCTGGTTTGGGTTGTTTTTTTTTTTGTTTTGGGGGTGAAGCTGCTGTACTGACCTTCATTAACCTTCATCTGGGAATGAAAACATGGTAAAGGGGCAACGGTTCCACCTGCTGGACGGATGTGATTTAAACCTCAAAGGAGATCTCAGAGTTTTTATTTCAACCGGCAGACACACCCTCAATGTTGAAGCAGTCAGGAATTGTATGTCGGTGGTGTTAGCAGGCGGCTAAGGAGCTACTGATGCTCCGTAGCAGCTGGGTTCTCTCTGTTAAATGAAAGGAGAGCTCTGATTTCATCCTTTAATGTCATTTATGGAAATAAAATCTAATGCTGCAGGCTTCTAGTCTGTGGAATAACTCCATCCCTAACCAGGAAATTAAGGCAGAATTCACCTTTTATCAGATTTTAAACGGGCTGAAAAATCCGTTCTAGTCGGACAGACGGAGTAGATCCAGCTTCGTTAAAAATAACGGTGACTGATCTTGCTCCATTTGGGGGAGGGGTTTAACTTTAAAAGATGAAAACTTGGATGGAAATGATGAGCAGTTTTCAGATATTTTGATTATTCTTAAAAGATGTAAAAAAAAAAAAGATGTATTTGTTTAAAGGTGTCTGGTCTGCGATGATTGTAGCAGAAAAATTCATTTAAATCTGTAAATGTTTGCGTTGTTCTCGCATTACTCTGTTTTATGTTTGATTTATTTTGTGTAACTTGGATTTTGGAGAAAATTAAACATTTAAACATATTTTCTTTCTGTGAGTCTAAAAACACGAAATCAAACGAGAGCCGCAGCTTTTTGATTCTAGCTCTAAAACAGGCCCAAAGATGTCGGATTCCTCCCAGGTTTAAAGTATTTTTTTACATTTAAAGGAAAAAAATAACAAAAAAGGGGAAAACTGTGGATAAAGGAAGCTGAAACAAACAACATGCATTCATGTCTAAGTATGTGTATTGTGTTGCTGATGTGCCATTATTAATGATTGTAGGAGGAGGATTCTCCCCACTTGGCTCTGCTCCTCTTCATCGCTTTAACCTTTGATTTTGTAACTTCTTGACTTGGAAGTTAAACCCTGCATGTCTGATTCCTGTAAACTGCTTTGTTTGTCTCACTTTTAAACAAAATAAAATAAGTTATTTTACAGTGATGGGAATCTGTGCGAGTCTCTGTGCTCAGGCAACTTGAAGGTCGAAGGTACAGCTGTTTCCACTAAATGGAAATCTCCTGCAGCCTGGAAAAAAACGTGGGCTCAGTGTGTATCTGATAAAAGGCCTCTAAACTAAACACACAGAAACTGATCAGGAATATTATTCATTATGGAAAACCGCTGCCGGTAGGTTCAGAACTGTGGCAGCAAGCAAAAGTCTGTGCTTGATGACTTTCTTTGCCTTTTTAGACACTTAAAGGGCGACCTAACAAGGGCTGAAACAATCAGATTAATCATGATTAATGGGAACCGGCATATACCTGTTTCACACCGGCACATACCGGTTGCCAGCTGGCCTTGGCCGGCTCCCAACAGGCCTGTTGGGAACTGGCCTATGCCTGTTGGGAACCAGCCTATGCCAGTTGACATAGGCCAGTTAGGAACCGGCCTATGCCAGTTGACATATGCCAGTTAGGAACCGGCCTATGCCTGTTGGGAACCAGCCTATGCCAGTTGACATAGGCCAGTTAGGAACCGGCCTATGCCAGTTGACAGATGCTAGTTAGGAACCGGCCTATGCCTGTTGACATAGGCCAGTTAGGAACCGGCCTATGCCAGTTGACATAGGCCAGTTAGGAACCGGCCTATGCCAGTTGACAGATGCTAGTTAGGAACCGGCCTATGCCTGTTGACATAGGCCAGTTAGGAACCCGCCTATGCCAGTTGACATATGCTAGTTAGGAACCGGCCTATGCCTGTTGGGAACCAGCCTATGCCAGTTGACATAGGCCAGTTAGGAACCGGCCTATGCCAGTTGACATAGGCCAGTTAGGAACCGGCCTATGCCAGTTGACAGATGCTAGTTAGGAACTGGCCTATGCCTGTTGACATAGGCCAGTTAGGAACCGGCCTATGCCAGTTGACATATGCTAGTTAGGAACCGGCCTATGCCTGTTGGGAACCAGCCTATGCCAGTTGACATATGCCAGTTAGGAACCGGCCTATGCCAGTTGACATAGGCCGGTTAGGAACCGGCCTATGCCAGTTGACATATGCCAGTAAGGACCAGGCCTATGCCAGTTGACATATGCCAGTAAGGACCCGGCCTATGCCAGTTGACATAGGCCAGTTGGGAACCGGCCTATGCCAGTTCACACATGCCTGTTGGGAATCGGCCTTTGCCTGCTGGCAACCGGCCTATGCCAGTTGACATATGCTAGTTAGGAACCGGCCTATGCCAGTTGACATATGCCAGTAAGGACCCGGCCTATGCCAGTTGACATGCCAGTTAGGAACCGGCCTATGCCAGTTGACATAGGCCAGTTAGGAACCGGCCTATGCCAGTTGACATATGCTAGTTAGGAACCGGCCTATGCCTGTTGGGAACCAGCCTATGCCAGTTGACATAGGCCAGTTAGGAACCGGCCTATGCCAGTTGACATATGCTAGTTAGGAACCGGCCTATGCCTGTTGGGAACCAGCCTATGCCAGTTGACATAGGCCAGTTAGGAACCGGCCTTTGCCAGTTGACATATGCTAGTTAGGAACCGGCCTATGCCTGTTGGGAACCAGCCTATGCCAGTTGACATATGCCAGTTAGGAACCGGCCTATGCCAGTTGACATATGCCAGTAAGGACCAGGTCTATGCCAGTTGACATATGCCAGTAAGGACCCGGCCTATGCCAGTTGACATAGGTCAGTTGGGAACCGGCCTATGCCAGTTCACACATGCCTGTTGGGAATCGACCTTTGCCTGCTGGCAACCGGCCTATGCCAGTTGACATATGCTAGTTAGGAACCGGCCTATGCCAGTTGACATATGCCAGTAAGGACCAGGTCTATGCCAGTTGACATATGCCAGTAAGGACCCAGCCTATGCCAGTTGACATAGGCCAGTTAGGAACCGGCCTATGCCAGTTGACATATGCCAGTAAGGACCCGGCCTATGCCAGTTGACATAGGCCAGTTGGGAACCGGCCTATGCCAGTTCACATATGCCTGTTGGGAATCGGCCTTTGCCTGCTGGCAACCGGCCTATGCCATTTGGCAGCCGGCATAGACTGGTTCCCAACTGGCAAAGACCAATTCCCAACAGGCATATGTCAACAGGCATATACATTTTTCAAAACTGGCATGCCGGATACCACTTTTGGCTCTCGCTGTCACTTGCAGAGAAACCTCTAAAACCTGCAAGACAGTGGCCTTTGACGGCCGACTTTGGGCATGCTTGGATTAATTGATTTGCATTTAATAGTTGCATCCATAATTCTACTATTTAACTATAAATTGAGAACTGCAATGTCCTGCTTTTGCGTGTTTTGCACAAGGTCACTGCATTTGATTTTTATCCCATTTTAAAGCTTAATAAAAAAAATAGTAAATGTATTAAGATTGGCTAAAAATAAGTGTCAAGTGATTTAAAAGCATCATTAATGAATTCTGGCCAGTTGTTGGCTACGGTATAAAACTTTGAACTCAACGCTTCGACCTGGATGATTGAGAATCTTCACCAGAACATTAATGAATGAAAGAATGCATTAAAATTGGACAAAAAGCAGAGAGAAAGAACCAAACACAGCTTCTGCATCACCCCCTCATAAACCACCAGAAGAAGGAAGTGGTAACAAAATTCACTTAATGAAGAACAAAAATAAACTAGAATGATACCACTACTGTTAATACTTAGAGAAACTTCATTGTCATTTTGGATACACAGGGTGTATAAAAAACAAAGTTTCGTTCTGTACAGCTCTCAAGACAGTTCGAATTCCTAAAGTGCAGCAGTGATAAAATGTAAACATAAGACTTAGATATAATTGACAGTTTTTCCAATATTCAGATTTATTTATATATTTTTTTCGTTTTCAACATTCAGCAGTTGGGGAAGAAGCTGTTGCAGAATATGCTGGGCCTGCATCAAATGCTGCAAAGCCTCTTCCCAGAGGGCAGCAGGGAGAACAGTCCATGGTGGGGGGGTGAGGGGTCATTGATGATGGGCTCGGGACACACAGTGCTGGGATGAAATGTCTATAATGGAGGGAAGAGGAGCCCTGATGATCCTCTCTGCTGTTCTCACCTTCTTCCAGTCTGAGGCGCTGCAGCCTCCACACCACACAGTGAGACAGCTGGTCAGAACATTCTCTATGGTGCTTCTGTAGAAGGTGGTGAGGATGGGTGGGGGCAGGTGGGCTCTCCTCATCCTCCTCAGGAAGAGGAGGATCTATACCAGAGGTCATGGATTAGCGGACCACAGTTCGGATCCGGACCCACCTGCTGGCTAATCTGGACCCAACCTGATTTAAAACATTTAGAAATTACTGCATGTTGTCCGACGACAGTGTCTTACAGCAAAATCCCAGATCCTCTGTCTCTGCACCACTGCGCTCCAAACCTCCTACGCAAAGCAAAGCCTTCAGCCTCCTCTGTTTCTCCCATCTTGCTGCGCTCCGACTTCCTCTGCGGTTCTGTGCTTTATTATTAAATTCATTAGTTTGCATCCAATCATTTAAACAAGCAGTCTTAGTTTTTGGGAATAAATAAGCTCATGAATGTGCCTGAGAATGACTTTGTCTCCATTCAAACCCAGGTTTAAAGCCTTGCAGGACAGCATAAAGCCCACTGCTCTCATTAAGACAGAAATAAATAAATAAATAAATAAAAAATGGTCAGTTCAGGTGTTTTATAAAATATGTGAATCAGGAAATTGTCTATATACCAAACTGAACGATTGTTGTTCTCTACTTCAAAAAACACTTTAGATTTTTAAATGGAAAAATGTTCCATTTTTCTTTTTGTTATTCAAAAATTCAATGTATAACATGGATGCATAAAAACCTAATTTTATTTCAGTGTTAAATTCTGTTTAAAGTAACAGATTATAATTGAAAATGTCTCCAGTGCTTTACATGATTAAAATATAGGAAAATAAAAAAAAATCAGAGCAAGTAGGGAAGAAAATAAAATAAAAAATGCAGAATCAAAAAAGATAAAAAAGTTGAACTAATGATATTTCAGTTGAACTGTTTAACTAGAACAGTCGAAGGCAATTCTAAACAAATGTGTTTTTAGTCTTGATTTAAAGGAACTCAGGCTTTCCACACTTTTACAGTCTGGAAGTTTGTTCCAGATAAGTGGAGCATAGGAACTAAATGCTGCTTCTCCATGTTTAGTTGTTGTTTTAGGCATGCTGAGCAGGCTGGATCCAGAAGACCTGAGTGGTCTGGAGGATTGATACAATGATAGCAAGTCTGCAATGTATTTAGGTGCTGAGACATTCAGGGATTTATAGACTAACAGAAGTATTTTAAAGTCTAGATACATGGAGCCAGTGTAAGCACTTTAGAACTGGGGTGATGTGCTCTATTTACTTAGTCTTAGTGAGGACACAGGCAGCAGGGTTCTGGGTCAGCTGCAGCTGTCTGAGCCACTTTTTAGGCATATATATATATATATATATATATATATATATATATATATATATATATATATATATATATATATATATATATATATATATATATATATATATATATATATATATATATATATATATATATAGAGCCCCATGGCCTCACTTTGACTCTCAGATTTAAAACTCTGAGGCTAACTTACATTATTCAGCATTTGTATCTGTTATAAATGACGAATCCTACAGACTGAAAAAAAGCCACATAAAATGCATTCATTTTATTTGTCATTATTTTACAGAATTATGAAATCTTTTTAGTGAGTCTATCCTCCCAGCTGTCAGTTTGTTCCCGTAACTCTGTCCTCATTTTTTTGGGATTTTCCACTCTTCTCTTCCCGGAACTATGGAAGCCCGTTTCCGCCACTCTGTAAAAAAAAAAAAAAAAAAAAACTATCTCAATATAATGAGATACTATCTCATTAAAATGAGATAGTATCTCAATATAATGAGATACTATCTCATTATAATGAGATAGTAACTCAATATAATGAGATAGTAACTCAATATAATGAGATAGTAACTCAATATAATGAGATAGTAACTCAATATAATGAGATAGTAACTCAATATAATGAGATACTATCTCATTATAATGAGATAGTAACTCAATATAATGAGATACTATCTCATTATAATGAGATAGTATCTCAATATAATGAGATACTATCTCATTATATTGAGTTACTATCTCATTATATTGAGTTACTATCTCATTATAATGAGATAGTAACTCAATATAATGAGATAGTAACTCAATATAATGAGATAGTAACTCAATATAATGAGATAGTAACTCAATATAATGAGATACTATCTCATTATAATGAGATAGTATCTCAATATAATGAGATACTATCTCATTATAATGAGATAGTTTTTTTTTTTTTTTTTACCAATTTTTTAAGTTAAAATTGAGTATTTGTGGTCAATAGCTCCCAGGTCATGTGACCTATTGATGCAAAATCAGTGTGAAATTGTTTTACTAGTCTCTGTAGATGGGGCACACTCATTTGTTTTTCATTTTAACTCTTTTTTTTATTTTTTAGCAATTTTTTAAGTTAAAATTGAGTATTTTTGGTCAATAGCTCCCAGATCATGTGACCTATTGATGCAAAATCACTTGGAAATTGTTCTACTAGTCTCTGTAGATGGGGCACACTCATTTGATTTTCATTTTAATTCTTTTTTTTATTTTTTAGCAATTTTTTTAGTTAAAATTTAGTATTTTTGGTCAATAGCTCCCAGGTCATGTGACCTATTGACCCAAAATCAGAGTGAAATTGTTCTACTAGTCTCTGTAGATGGGGTACACTCATTTGTTTTTCATTTTAATTCTTTTTTTTAATTTTTTTTAACCAATTTTTTAAGTTAAAATTGAGTATTTTTGGTCAATAGCTCCCAGGTCATGTGACCTATTGACCCAAAATCTGTGTGAAATTGTTCTACTAGTCTCTGTAGATGGGGCACACTCATTTGTTTTGCATTTTAACTCTTTTTTTTATTTTTTACCACATATGGACACCCTTATGCTTGAACATGGTGTTCGTTATGGACAATCCATGACGAGCACAGAAGTCCAACAACAGAACACCACTCGAGTTCAGATCGGGGCGACCATTCCTCCCAACCATGCCCCTCCAGGTCTCACTGTCATTGCCCACGTGAGCGTTGAAGTCTCCCAGCAGAACAAGGGAGTCCCCAGGAGGAGCACCCTCCAGTTCTCCCTCTAAGGACTCCAAGAAGGGTGGGTAATCTGAACTGTTGTTTGGCCCGTTAGCACAGACAACAGTCAGAACCCGTCCCCCCACCCTTAGACGGAGCCCTCTCGTTCACCGGGATTAACCCCAACGTACAGGCACCGAGATGGGGGGCAACAAGTATGCCCACTCCTGCCAAGCGCCTGTCACTGTGGGCAACTCCAGAGTGGAAGTATGTCCAGCCCCTCTATAGGAGACTGGTTCCAGAACCAGAACCATACGTCGAGGTGAGACAGACTATTTCTAGCCGGAACCTCTCAGCCTCACACACTAGCTCCGGTCCCTTCCCACCAGCGAGGTGACATTCCACATCCCAAGAGCCAGCTTCTGCAGCCAAAGATCGGACCACCAGGGTCCCCTCCCCCGGCCAACACACATTGCATACGACCCTTATGGCCCCTCTCACGGGTGGTGGGCCCATGTAAGGGGGGACCCAACAATTCACACTGATTTTGGGTCAATAGGTCACATGACCTGGGAGCTATTGAAGAAAAATACTCAATTTTAACTTAAAAAATTGCTAAAAAATAAAAAAAGAGTTAAAATGAAAAACAAATAAGTGTGCCCCATCTACAGAGACTAGTAGAACCATTTCACACTGATTTTGGGTCAATAGGTCACATGACCTGGGAGCTATTGACCAAAAATACTCAATTTTAACTTAAAAAATTGGTAAAAAAAATAAAAAAAGAGTTAAAATGAAACATAAATGAGTGTGTCCCATCTACAGAGACTAGTAGAACCATTTCACACTGATTTTGGGTCAATAGGTCACATGACCTGGGAGCTATTGACGAAAAATACTCAATTTTAACTAAAAAAATTGGTAAAAAAAATAAAAAAGAGTTAAAATGCAAAACAAATGAGTGTGCCCCATCTACAGAGACTAGTAGAACAATTTCACACTGATTTTGCATCAATAGGTCACATGACCTGGGAGCTATTGACCAAAAATACTCAATTTTAACTTAAAAATTGGTAAAAAATAAAAAAAAAACTATCTCAATATAATGAGATAGTAACTCAATATAATGAGATAGTATCTCATTATAATGAGATAGTAACTCAATATAATGAGATAGTAACTCAATATAATGAGATACTATCTCATTATATTGAGTTACTATCTCATTATAATGAGATAGTAACTCAATATAATGAGATAGTAACTCAATATAATGAGATAGTATCTCATTATAATGAGATAGTAACTCAATATAATGAGATAGTAACTCAATATAATGAGATAGTAACTCAATATAATGAGATACTATCTCATTATATTGAGTTACTATCTCATTATATTGAGATAGTTTTTTTTTTTTTTTTTTACAGAGTGGCGGAAACGGGCTTCCATACGGAACACTTTCGTTTTAAGTAAAACTCTTACACAAGCCCCGCCCTGGGAATAAAGCCAACACAAACCCCGCCCCTTGCATATATCCATCAGACGTCCCGGCTGTCCTCCATCTCCTCTCTGAACTCCTACCCTCTCCGGACGGAAACGTCGCTGTTAAAAGTTGTTTTTTTCCTGTTTTGTTCTCCTTCGCAACCATGGCTAAAATAAACACCTGCCTCAAACGGACTTTTATCGGGTTTAACCTGTTCTTCGCGGTAAGTTTCCCGCTTTTATCCAGAAACCGGGTCGGAATTAAAAGTGCGCAGTTAAAGCTGAGGACCGTTAGCGCCATTTCAGCTATATTACACATTAATACCGAGTCATAATGAGCGTTTTATAGTCAAACAAAGTGTATTTTAACGCTGTAGTCGGTCACATGTGTTATTTAATCGTGTATTTCTAGGTGTGGCGATGACTGTAGTTTAATGGCATCAGGTCCAAAGGGAACAGGTGTGCCGCTAAAATGAAAGTTTAGAAATTTAAAAAAATGACTTAATTCTAGGTTGTCTTTTTATCTTGGATGTTTTAGTTTGATCAAACTGGATGTTTTGTGGTTTATAAAACAAAGTAAAAAGTGAACTGGCCCTTTGGCTACAAATTAATCCTCATTAAAGTTTCACATGATCCTCTGTTTAATTAAACCCACACTTTATGTTAATGTTTTATTTTTATTTCTAAGTCTATGCTTTTTACTTTTACAACAGGATTTATTTTCCACTCTTTTTAAACCAGGATAAAATGAGTAAAAGTATTTTCTTTTAAAGATGTTTCAACAGTTGGATGATTTAAGCCTAAAACGTTCTTTCTTTGTCATGTTTTTGTTTCTGTTTTAGTTTAAAAATCAGCTTCAAATCTTTGTATCAACAGCAGAAACTGTTTTAATTTCTCTGCTCTTGTTTTATTTATTGATTTATTTATTTTTCTCAGTGTGGTTTCATAAAACCAGGCCTGTGGGCGTTCCCTGCACTCAGGTTACCTGCTGGCACTGGTGTTTGCTCTGGTTGGACATGTTCAGGCAGCTGAGCTCAGGCTGCAGCTTTGCGTTAATCATCAAACAAGTTTTTCAAGTTTCACAAACAGGGAAATGGTTCCTTGTTTAGCAACGAAGCCTGTGGCTTTTTTACTGCATGTTTAGATCCTGAACTAACATTAATAAACCCCCAAAAAACAACCTTCAAGCTGATTTCAGGGTGTTTTTCTGTCTTCATGTTAAAGGTCATCAGTTTAGAAAACGAAGCTTGGCGCCAGAGACGGAGCAGACGCTTTTTCTATCTGTTTATGTGTGTTATTTTAGAGCTGAAGTTAGAATGCTGGGAGGAAGCAGTTAGGTGAAATCATAAAAGAGATCCTTCTTTCAGGGTAACATCCTGTTACCCAACAGCTTAGTATCTAGGTTACTTTCTTTTTATCTCTGTGGGTTTTCTCGTAACTGGAGCAGAACTGACCGGGGAAACGGGATGTTAGCAACAGGCTGGATGAATAAATTTAATCTTATTTTACTTTCAGATTGTCGGGGGGATCATCATTGGCCTCGCCGTGCTGTCACAGATCTTCACCAGCAGTGAGGAAGACTCAAACGTAAGAGAACAAACCGAACGGACTAAACTAAAGGTGTCCTTAAAGTCTAAATTTGAACCCTTTTTTTCTGCAGATGGAAAGCCGGGCCAGTGGCATCATCTGCCTGTACGTGATGGGCGCCGTCACCATGATGCTCAGCCTCCTGGGGGCCTACGGGGCCTACAAGGAGAGCAAAGCGTCTCTGATTGTGGTGAGTGCTGCGGGAAGCAGTTTCTGATCCAACAGGATGTCGTTAGTTTGGAGATTCTGGTGACTTCAAATGTTTCATCATGTTGGAGCCGTTGCCACGCAAGCAGATAAGGTTTTTTGTCAGAGGTGAAATTAGTCCTAAACAGGAACTTAAAACAGCTGCAAGAACGTCAGGACTTCTGCTTATGGTTTTTTTTATACCCCTCAGAATCAGTTCTGTTAGATTCATAAATGGATCAATTCATCAGAGGTCAGATGATGGAAATATTAGCTAGTTTAATGTTTTAAATGCTTTACTGGGTGGAAAATGAGGTAGCTCTGGGTCAGAACCAGCACAAACGCTTTCAGTCCATGGTTCTGTTCACAATTAACCACCTACCTGCCACGTTGTATAAATAAATGAGTTAAATCTGTCCAGTCCCGCTGTTGATGGCGTAGAAATGTGTGTCTCCCAGAGGTCCAGCATGGCTCAGATGTAACATTCTGGTCCAAACTTGGTTTTCCTTTCTGTTTTCCCTCAGTTCCTGGTCTGCATGATCCTCGGAGCCTTGCTCATGATCCGAGCAGGAATCCCGTCAGCTGTTGCACGTCCTCAGGTAACGTCTCTCTTCCTCCAGCAGAAGCAATTCTTCACACCAAACTGTTGATTTGATCAGTAAACATTTGAACTGTATGACAGAGAATCAGGGCTATACTAAGCTAGAGAATAAAGTCAGAATATCACGAGAATAAAAAGTAATTTTGATAAGAGAGAAGCTTCAATAGAGATATGAACATAAATCACCCAAACTGCAGCCTGAAGTGACCATAATCCAATTTTAGTTTTTTTATTTATTTCTTTGCTCGTATGCAACCACTACCTGATCTTTTCAAATGCGACCCGTTTCTGAACAACCAGGTCACATTCATCCGACTTGAACATTACTAATACCTGCTTCCTGCTACACAGAAGCAGGAAGAAAAACCACCCTGAGGGAGGATGATGCAGAGAGCCGTCTTTATTTTCAACCATCTTAAAAAAACTTGTGTTAATAATGCACCGGCTGAGGTTGGGGAAAGAAGTAAAAGAGCATAAGATGAGCTCCAGCATCCATGTTTGCTTCCGTAAAGGAAGAGGACGCTCGCTTGTGACATCATTACATCCTTTTCTAGGCATGCATTAGATTAAAGCAGGATATGACTTCAATCTCATCATGTTACCCTTTTATTCTCTTAGACCTAAAATTCTGATTTTATTCCCTTAATTTTATAGTTTCTGTTCGATCTAATCGATCCCAGATTACTGATCTTTCCAGGTTTGGTCGTTACTAATTTATTTAAGCGTTTGTTTTTTTAAATGACTTTCAACACGTTTTAAACTTGAGGCCAACATTTCCATTGTTGTTTTGATTATTTTTATATAATTTTTTTTATTGTTTTGTTTAAAACAATTTTTGTTTATCAATGTGTCATTTTTATTCCATTAAAATGGAAATGGGGGGGGAAAATATCAGCTTCAGGAATCAAGCTAAAAATATCAGCACATATTGGTATCTAAGATGGAGGCTTAGGCTCTTTAAAGAGCAAAAAATGGCTGACAGATAAATCAATAGCAGTAAAGTTGAAATACTAGAGCAATGATCTCTTTGCAAAGGAAATGATGAAAACAAAATTTTCTTTGAAGACCTGATTATGCTAAAGAAGGTTTAAAAAGAGTTGGACATTCATGATTTAGTGTCACGAAAGACCTTTGAGATTTCAATCTTATTTTACTGAAAAACTGCAAACTAAAGCCATGAAAGCATAGAAACTTGCTGAATAACTGCTCTCCAATAGCAATGCATAGTGACAGTGGAGGATTGTTAGACTTCTACAGACATAAATAATACCTGTGGATAAGATGTGTTTCACATTGAAGCATCGGCTGAACTCTGATCTTCTTATATTAAAGAAATCGGACTTCATTTTATGCTTTTATTTTGGTTGGTTGGTTATAATGGTTGAATAAGAAATAAAGTGTAATAAAGCAAAGATAGTAAAAATAGATTGGATAAATTTAAACTGGGGAAAAACTTTAAAGCTACAGTGTGTAATAATTACAGGCATATAAAGTCAGAAATTTAATATATTATACATAACTATGTTATTTATCATCACCTATGAGCTCAGCCTTTTAACCATAATATTTGCGTTGCCTTAGAATTCGTTATTTATAATTACATAGGAGCGGGTCTCGCAGCCATGGAGGCTGACATCTTTGCGCTACGTCAAGCGCAGAGGCAACAAACTAGCGATTGCGAGATCTCCCATGACGCTCAAAAATAACTACGGCAAGTTGAGAGAGATGAACTGAGACGGTACTGAACAGTAGATGGCAGTATTATGCCTGAGAAGCGTTTAGTCTGCCTGAAACCAAAGAAGAAGAAGAAGAAGCAGGTATACTGCGCCTCAGTAACAAGAAAGGTGAACAAGGCGGCAGGCGTGAGTGACTTTGCAAACTGTTTGGCACTGTGTGGCCAAACATCAGACGAATGGAGGATCATGTCTACTCTGTATCACAACGAAAAGCGGCGGGCACCGAACCCCCGTCATCTAAGAAGCGGAAACACGACGAGAATAAACGCAGGCGTGACAAGAAACGGCAAAAAACACGGATCAACATTGGCACGGCATTTACACGATGGAAGTCACTGATGGAGGAAAAAGGTTTTCAAAGTGACGCTCAAGTTGCCAGTTTTCTCTTGGACAGGTAATTAATCCTACACACACAATTGTCTAATATCACTGCAGTTTTTGGAGTACAGGATGCTCAGACCTGTCTAAAACAATAACATGCTGCTGCGTGATGATGCTGTTACTCTCCAGTATACTTATTCAGCAACGTCCCTGACGTTTCACAGGTAATGATTCAGTAATTTTCTGTAAAATAATTTTCTGGATATATACCTCGGTTACTTCTCTCCGGCTCCTTTGGAGATCTTCAAGCCTTTCCTCCTCTGCTCTCACCCCGCTGGCTCCCCTCTCTCGCCTGGCCCCAGCTGCACGCTCACCCCGGCCTCTCTGCCCTCTTCCTTTCCCTCTTCCTTGCCTTGTAACCCCCGTGCCACAAACAAGACTTGGACTCTGTAAACGGGGAATATATATTCTTCCAGCGAACACAATCTCGCTGTTAAACTAATGACTACAATTACTTCGTCTGTTTATATCACCATGCAAAGCAGCTCACCAAAACGTCACAACGACGTAGAAAAAATAACGGGTATATTTATTATCTTAAGTCTACATGAAATCTATACCCTAAACAGACCAATGAAATACTATCTGTAAAATTATCTATGTAAACAAACCTCATCACTTGAGAGGGTAGGTGATGCGGACGTCGTGGAAGACATTTTGTCCTGTAACGCTCGCCGTACTGTTGGGAGGGAGAAGCGGTGGGGGGGGAGACGTTCATGTTGCTGCAGTCTGCAGTCTGACCGCTAGATGTCACTGAAAATTACACACTGTAGCTTTAAACAATTTTTTTCAATTCAGAGATTTAATTTTTTTTTTTAAGTTCAGACATTTTTTTTTCTCCAGATGATTAAATGTTTTCTTCTTTTATTTGTATTTTACTAATTTATTAGTGAAATGTATTTACTTTTATTTCATTGAGGGAATTTATGGACTGATGTTTCTGCCTCTGAATTTATTGGCTCCGTTTGGTTTGTTGCTTTTGTAGTTGGAGGGCATCATGGAGGAGAAGTTCAAGGAGATTCTGCCTCTCAGCGACGCATCCTTCCAGATAAAGCACATGGCCGACATGCTGCAGGAGAAGGTGAGATATTTAACCCCCCTCCAGCAGATTCTCTCGAATCTATTTAACATTTTCCAAGTTTGTTTTGAAATATTAAAATCAAGCCTCCGTTCAAGTTCAGGCAGAACAATTCAAGTTAAGCTTCAACAAAAACCTACAGGAAGAAGGAAAAAAAAACTGTGATGGATATGAAAGGTTATACCACCTCCTGTGTGGTTTAAAGTTTCCTTTCTGCTTGTTTCAAAGCCTTGTTGGTGCCCACCTGAACCACACACACGTCACTGTTCTTTCTCGCAAAGTGCCGCTGCTGTAACCTCCATCCTGCTCTGGTTTATTTGCTTAGCAAATACAGGCGCCGACCTCCACCTGTTGGAGGAAGTCATTTGACCATCAGGATGTAAACGGCCGTCTCTCATTAACCCTCCGTGCTCCTTCATCACTTCCTGTTTTTAACGTCTACATTTGCTCTGGCTAAAAAAAGCAGAACTAAAAAAAAAAGCATCACTCATCTTGTTCCCTGACCAATAAAGTGGTTATTTTTCCTTTAATACACAATAAATTTTGCGCTGTCGTAAGCTGGGTCAGATGTTTGCTGCCGTAAATATTTAGATTCGCGTTTCCCTTTAACCCAGATGTTCCCAGAGTGCAGCTGGGGAGGGGCTTTAAACGCTTTATCATTGTGATGCGACTCGTAGCGTATAATGAAACGCATCCATTTCAATGTTCCATTGTAAGCTGCATTTAATTATTTATTAGTTTTTCCAAAACATTTTAAACTGTGACCCCTAAAAATATAAATATTCCATTAAATAAGCTGAGGAACCCTTAAGAATACATGCAATTATTCTACTCTATATTCATTTAATTATTTAAACATAAAGTGAATTAATAACGTTCAGGGTTACTGTAATTTGATTTTTTTTTTATCACATTAATTATTTTACTCATTTAGCTAATTTTGAGCTCATGACCCATCATTGATAACCTCTAATATTATACATCACTGAAATGTTAAATATAACATTAAAATGATTTGAAAAGCACAATAACATAATTAACATTTTAGCCAATAATTGATACATTGATGTAGAAATGAATATTACTCTATAAATGTAAATATATATAAAACAAATGCAGAGTGAAGCAATTAAAACTATTTTTCGGGTGAATGTCTGGAAACCTCTGGTCGGCGTTGCCATGGGAACATCAGCAGAAGCCCACCACAGGAGATCCCCCACCCCCTCCTTAGAGCAAATCACAAGCTGGAGGTTTTGACTTCTTCATGCTGGTCGACACCACATGAAAAACGCCGCCGTGTGATTCTCAGCCATCAGTAGAAAAACCGAAAACGGCGTCTGCCGCAGGGAAGCTACAAGCTATGGAGTGAATTTTGTTTCACTATTGCAGAAGAAAATGCTTCTTAAAAGGAAAAACCAAAAAAGAAGTTCAATCCTGAAGTGAAACTTTGAAAAACTTCCTTTTTTTAAAGAAAAAAAGGTCTTAAGGGGAACTTTGCTTTTTTGTTTTGATATTGGATTTAAAAAAGGAATTAGTTTCATTTATTTTTTTTGTAACAGATTTTGCATTTCTCCTTTTTAAAAATAAAAAAATTAAAAGATCGAAAATAAAAATATTTGTAAAAAAATCTGAGAGAAAAAGCAAAGTTTCTCTGAAAGGACGTTTTTTATAGAGAATTGTTTCTCAAAGTTTCATCCCAGCCAATCTAGCAGAGGCAGCAGCTGCTGCTGGAAGGCAGTTTCATTCCTAAGGCCCTTCTTGGATTACTGCCCTCTAACATTTGTAACGTACTTCCACAGAAAAGCATGGCTTCTTCTGCCCTGAGATCCAACGATCAGCTGTTGATCACTGTTCCCGCACAGAGCTAGGGAAGAACACCTTTAGCTACGTAGCTCCTTGTGCGTGGAATGTTTACAAAGAAACTGGAAGCTGACTGAGTTTTTATCTTTAAATGCTTTTAAGTTGAAAGTGAAAGAATTTCAAGCAGCCTCAATGATCTGTAATTGTTTTACTTGGTATGTTTTTTTTTTATGTACATTTAATTTAATGTATCTCTTGGCCAGGACTTCCTTAAAAAAGAGGTTTTTAATCTCAATTGGATTATTTCCTGTTTAAATAAAGGTTAATTAGAAAAAATAAAATACGGGGTTTCTAACTCATCCTGCTGCAGGATTATTTCCAAGTTTGCTCAAGTTTTCCACAGAAAAGAGCTGCATGGATGCATATTTAACATGAGATCTTATTCTTGCATCCATGCATTGACTCCATGTCTGCCATGTTTTAAGGAGTGAAACAAACGGGGTTCTGGTAGAGAACCTTTCAGGACGCCTCTGCAGAGAGCCTCATCTTTGGGGTCCATGTGGGCGGATGGGAGCAAAGCCAGGCGCCACATTTGGAGGAAACTCCTGGAAGTTTCTGTAACCTCTTCCCTCTTCTTCTGTGGGTTCAGTTGCACTGCTGCGGCCTGTTCAGCTACAGAGACTGGAATGGCGACATACCCTCTACATGCATCTGCAACCCCGAGGAGGAGGAGGAGTTTGAGTGCAGGAGGATCGGCTACCAGGTGAGTACCTGAGCTCAGCCTCCGTCAGATTCACGTGTTTGATCCACCTGGAGACGCTCATGTTTCTGTGTGTCTGTCTCTTCCAGTATCTCACCCAAAGCAGGTCCATCTACAGCAAGGTGAGTAAACCTGCGCTCATCTGCAGTAAAACTGAATCATATGAACGTTTAAACTGACCCCCGCTCCTCTTCCCTCCTACAGCCCTGTTTCCCCATCCTCATGCATTACGTCCTGCTGCTGGCTGACATCGTTCTCGGGGTCGTCTTCACTCTGGCTTCTCTGGCTGTGAGTAAAACCTTTAGTTTATTTAAACTAGCGGCTTCTTAGAGCGACATAACCTGGTTTTAAAGTCCCGCTGCACCACAGGAGCTGTTCTCAACATGAAGTAAGCCTGAAGAAATCAGCTTACTCTGCTCAGATTAGAGATAGGTCTGTCTTTACGCCTCTGTGACCTTCATGCTGTTTAATTCCTGCTTCTTCAGAGGCCGGGAAACAAAACAGGAATGTAAACAGACGCTATAATAAATATAAAGCAAACTTCATGGTGTGTCGGCACACTTTTTCTCACCATGAGGTGTGCCCCTTTTTTTTTTTCTTCAGGGAGTTGGCAGCCCTAGTTTTATCCGTGTGGAGTTCAAACATCTAAAGATCTGTTAGTAATCCCTGCTTCTCGTCTCTCAGGTTCTCGGCACGATCCTGTCCTGCATCATGATCCACCAGCTGCGCCAGCGCAACACAGCCACCATCCTGCTCAGCGTTCCCGCCATCTTCACCCCCAGACTTCCAAAGTACGAGGAGCTGCAGAACCCCCCTCCCCCCTACTAAAGGAGCAGCGCCGCCTCTCTGCCGCCGACGGGACGTCCCGCTTTCTCTGCTGTTAATCCGACGCGGTGCGAGGACTGCGTCCACTAGTGCCTTTCATTCCTGCAAGGAGGGGGAAGCTTCCAGACCTAACTCTGGGCCAGCATTTAAAGTATATTTTTTAAACCATATTTGTGTTTTAATAAATATATCTTTGAGTTTGCACCTTTTTATATGTGTGGGGAAATAATAGATATATTTTTATGTTTGGTTTTAATTTTCTGAAAATCTTTTAAAAAAAAGACAAGTAGGTTGAAATGTTTGTTTTCTTGGGACTCATTAAAGTTCTGTTTGCTTCAGATTATTGCAAATTAAAAGCACTGAGGAAGAAGCCATAAGATCTGTTTTGATGATGGAGAGTTAGATCCTGCTGTTCTGTTGGTTCATCCCACTCTGTTAACCTGCTGCCACAGCTCTAAGATTATGTTTGATTTTTGTTTTTTAATCAAAAAGGATGTTAAATGTTAAACTGATCAAACTAAATGTTGAACCTTGAATGTTTTCTTGTTTGTTTGTGGAAAACGTGAAAACGACATGTTTCTTTTCTGTCGTTCGTTTTCCTTGGAACTGATTTCACTTGAGCTTAAAGGGAAATGAAACCATACAAAAAAATCTGTCTGTTTTATTTTCTGGAATCCATGTCTGCCGTTTTGGTTTAGAACAGAACTTTGGGTATTTTATTACAACATTTAATTGTGCTTAAAGTAAAGATCAGGACACCCTTTATCGCCACAGAATTCATCCTGTTGATCAAATGCATGAATTTAGCCACAGGTCTCACTGAGATTAGATAAGAAAGTAGGATTATACGTCATCTATAACATTCAACCAAACATTAATAAAGACCAAAAAAAAAAACAGCAACACATTTTACGATGATTTAAAAAATAATCAGGTTAATGTCTACATGCCGATTTTATGCCTTTCCAGAAACCTAAAAGTTCCCAAAGAGTCTGAAGTTTTATACAGATTTAGGACTTTGATCAGAGAGGCTGTTTTGTAAGGAGTCAAATGTAAATTAAATAAGTCTGCTGCCAAAAAAGATGATGTTGGAACATCCTTAAGGGCATAAGCACAAACCTACAAGCTTGCTGGGACTACAGGCTCTCAGGTCAGAGTGAAAAAGATCTGATTCTTTGAATTGGTCGAAGGAAAAAGCTGTTTACATTAAGTTATGGCTGCTGCATCATGGATAAAACCAGACAGAACAACATAAACACCTCTTGCTATTTCTAAAGCACGGTGGTGGAGGGATGATGCTAAGGTGGGATAGAATAGCTACAGTTTCTAACTGCTGCTCATCATGGTTCTGGATCAGACGACCCGGTTTCTCTCCTCCAGGCTTCTTCTGGACTAATTTACATGACATTAATGCCTGGAGGCGAGCAGCTTCTCTCTGTGAAAACCACACGCTCTGTAATCACTCATCAAGAATTTCCACATTCTTCTTTCAGATGTTCTGAAACCTCTCAGCCGAAGAGGAGGCGGCCTGGTTTAGACTTTATTGGCTAATCTGGGTTATACTGGGTTTTACACAAGTGTGCATTTTTCCTGTTAGGCAATAAAAAATTTTAAAAAACTTGAAAAAAAACCCCACAGAAAATGTAGGTTTAAAATCTTCCTCAAAACAACTAAAAAGTGAAGCGATTTCTGCACTTAAAGCGCCATCTAGTGGACAGAAGAAGCAAATACTGCAGGAACCAGCAGCTGCTGCTTCAAGAACCTGTTTGGCTGCTTAGTGCAAACTTACTGAAAACTATCAAACTGTTGCTTATAATGCCTCAAAGGTAAGGAATACCCTTTATAGCTTTGGAAACAAATTTCTCTTTCAAATGGCTGAGAAACGTTTTTGTATAAAACTATTCAGTTAAATCAAACCTAGTAAATGTCTGTTTTTTCCAGTTTTATACAGAATGACAGAAACCTAATGCACTTTATGGTTCTGCAGAGTGGATCTGATCCAGTAGACCTGAGAGGTCTGGCTGTTGATCCCCTGCCAACCAGGCTGTAATGTATTTAGAAGCCATTCAGTGATTTCTTATCTAACAGAAGGATTTTTAAGTCTATTCTCTGAGATTCGGGGTGCCAGGAGAAGGACTTTAGAATCAGGCTGATGTTCACTACGTTCTTAGTTCTAGTGAGGATGCAGGCAGCAGAATTCTGGATCAACTGCCAGTGGCGGTTCTAGGCCAAATGTACCAGGGGGCCAGCGTTGTTTTCATGGGGGCCCAGAAAAACATGAAATAAAAAAACAGGGTTAGGGATTTAAATATATTAAGATAGCTGCATGAAGGGAAATTTCTATTCAGTTAGGTTTAAATAAAATTTTATGTCTTATTAGATCTTATTCATACTTTAGGAATTTTGCATATTTTTGACTTAATCTAAGTTTTCTATAAAATCTGAATTACAACTCAAGAAAAAAACTGATAAATTCAGCTGTTAATTTTTTTTTTATTTGTTTTGGAAAAAAACATTTAGCAAATAAAAACTGGGTTCCTATCTCAATGCCACAGAATCTATCACCTTGTTGTTTTTAGATAAATGGTAAAACCGAATTTGCAAAGAAAGAAATGAAATAGATCAAAATAACCTATCAGTAACCATGTCTGTTCTAGTGCATATCATCATTAAAATTTCTTTGAGTATTATGTCTTCAATACAGGGCCAATAACGGGGGCCAGGATATGATCTACAGGGGCACTGGCCCCGGTTGGCCCCTGTCTAGAACTGCCCATGTCAACTGCAGCTGTCTGATCCACTTTCCAGCCAGATCTATGAAGGATAGATTCTACTCAAGATGAACGAAGCAGGAAGTAGTTTTTCAAAGTCCTGCTGAGACGTTAGTCCTTCAATCCTGGAGACACAGGATGTTTGTGGCTATAAGCACATAAAGGCCCTTTCTTTGAGTAGGATTTAAAACAGTCCAGTTCTGAACCAGAAAGGCTGACCCAGTTTTCCAGGCTCAATCTGGATCAGAAGACTCTGTTTCTTTACTCCAGGCTTCAGATTTAAGATTTAATCACACAGTTTGAAGTGAGCTGATTAAATTTTCTCTGTATAATCACTCATCGAGAATTTCCACATTCTTCTTTCAGATGTTCTGAAACCTCTCAGCCGAAGAGGAGGCGGCCTGGTTTAGATTTTATTGGCTAATCTGGGTTATTTTTTAACTCAAGTGTGCATTTTCCCTCTTAGGCAATAAAAAAAAAACATCAGGCTTAAAAACATCCTAATTCTATGATGAGCGTTTCTAAGATTAGTTGCAAAAAAAACAAAAAAACATGTAGGGTTGGAGTCTTCCTCAAAACAACTAAAAAGTGAAGCGATATCTGCACTTAAAGCGCCATCTAGTGGACAGAAGAAGCAAATACTGCAGGAACCAGCAGCTGCTGCTTCAAGAACCTGCTAGGAGTTTGGCTGCTTAGTGTAAATTGCTGCTTATGATGCCTCAAAGGTAAGGAATAACCTTTATAGCTTTGGAAACAAATTTCTCTTTCAAGTGGCTGAAAAGCGTTTTAGTATAAAAGTATTCAGTTAAATCAAACCCAGTAAATGTCTGTTTTTTTCCAGTTTTATGCAGAATGACAGAAACCTAATGCACTTTATGGTTCTGCAGAGTGGATCTGATCCAGTAGACCTGAGAGGTCTGCCTGTTGATCCCCTGCCAACCAGGCTGTAATGTATTTAGAAGCCAGTCAGAGAACTTTCAATATTCACAACTAAGTACCTTTTTGCTCTGAGCATGGACCCACAATGAATCCTGGGAAAACCAAAGCTATGGAGGATACACCAGACCCGTCCTTCAAATCGGGCATAAAGAAGGATGCATTTGTAGGCCAAATAACAAGGATTCTTGGAATCCGACCAGACCTCGGCGACACGCTATGACATAATGGGCCTTTGAATCTGGCCTACCAGATGGTAGTCATTGAGTCTGGATGGGCTGGAGTTTTTGGGGATCGGGACGACGGAGGTGAACTTTAATCGTGTCAGTACCACAGTGTGAGCCAGGGTCAGGTTGAAGTTTTCAGTCAGCACTCCTACCAGCTCCCCAGAGCACATTCTGAGGACACGTCCAGAGATGACATCATGACCCGTTGGCTTTAATCCTGTTCAGGACCGCTCCTACATCAGTAGAGGAGAGAGTCAGTGGCTGGTCTGGGGTAATGGCTGCCTTCGTTGCAGCTGCAGTGTTCTCTCTCTCAAAACAAGCATAAAAGTTGTTAAATGGAGTACACAAGCAAACTAATAAGGAAATATAGCGATCATATAAGGTCACTTTCATTTCCATGGAAAAAACTTAAAACATCCAAAGAGATAAAAAATGAGGATATGAACTAAGATACAAACACCAGTATAGTTAAATGAACATTATTTTAAACATTAGACATCATCATCATAACTGCACGGAGGACCCATGATGCTTAAAGGAAAAGTCAACGAATCACTATTTATTCCTAAAACTAATGTAATTTAATGAATTTGGCGTTAATCAGTAGAAAAATAAAAATATATATTTTTTAAGCCATTCTTCTAGCCTGACGTAGTCCGACTCAATTCTAGTCAGAATATGAGTCTGATACTGCTCCATAGAGCTGTGATTATGGGGCGTGTTTCAAACGAACTAGGAAAAAAAATGCCTCTGTACTCAATTGGATAGACCTACAACCAATAAGAGCAACGGAGTGCGTGACGTATGTTAAGCGAGGCATAGTTGTTGTCCACAAAAATCAAAGCGTACAGTTGCACGCCTATAATAGGAAGATGAGACTTGATCGCGTCTCTCTGTTCCTCTTTTAAAATTAATTTGCTGTCGATATCTTCTAGAACAGACCTAATAGCAGAATCTACTCACCCAAACTCTCCAGCGGCAGCCATTGTTGTTGTCACCCAAGCACGCATTGGTCACGTGGTTGATTACGTTACTGTTGGTCATCTGTCCATCATCGTATAAAGCCCGCCATGACAATTTGATTGGATCGCCTGACAGTGGGCGATAATACTCGCGCTACTATGGAGCAGAGCCAGACCGAACTTCCCCGACCTCAAACTTTGTGGGCGGGACTAAGTTCGGAATGGCACCCAGGCTACCATTCTTCCCGCTTTACAAGCAAAATCAATGGGACCTACTAGACACACCTGCAATCAACAATGATTATTGAAGATTTCCAGAGGACTTTACCATTGAAATTCACCAGAGCTATAATTAAGCTGACAATGTCCACGTGCATGGCAGTTGGATGTGTAATACATCGGGTAAAAGTGAATAAAAATCAGTTATCCCGATTCCTGATCCTCCACTGACGGGTTCGTTGTCGGATTTGCCAACTTGAAGAGGGAAGTTTTGCCATCGAACTTCTGTCCAGAGAAAAAACACGTAATATCTAGACAACATTTGGAAGAAGAATGTTTTCAAGATGACTTGGATAATAGCACGTTGCAGGCTCAGACTGGTAATCTGTGATACCGGGCATGTGACCTGTGTCTGGTCCTAATTTCAGCATGCAAGGGCCGGCCCTCCTTAAATCATACCGGCTCCAACACTTAGGCTATGTTCACACTGCAGCCTGAAGTGACCTAAATCCGATCTTTTGGCCCATATGCGACCTGTATCTGATCTTTTCATGGCTGTCTGAACAACACAGATGTGATTTTTCCCAATGCGACCCAGACCACTTGGCTATGCGGTCCTGAATCCGATACGAATTTGATCTTTTCAAATGCGACCTGTGTCTGAACGGCCAGGTCGCATTCATCCGACCAGAACGCCATTAATACCCGACACTATTCTGGGTCTTGCTATGAAGAAGCGGCAAGAAAAGCAACAACCATGGCAGATGATGATGCGGAGAGCAGTATTTATGTTTAACCACCTTGAAAAGATTGTGTTTTATGGTTTGGAAAGATCGCTAGATGTGCGATGGTACTACCATCCATGCTTACTTCCGTAAACACAGAGCATGCTGGCCTGTGATGTCATTGCGTTCTCTACTGCGCATGCGGTATGACTGCAGTTCACACAGATGATCACATATAAGTCGCATATATTTGGAAATGTGAGGCACCTACCTGTGAAAGTAAATAACTCAAGGAACTTAGAAAGTAATCCAATGTTAACTACCTAAATGATGCATGCAGTATATTTAGCCCTTCCTTGTCATGCACATCCTTGTGACGGTTAGCATATGGTGTAATTTTCTATTTCTTCAAACTGTAAAAATCCTTGCAACAAACTAAGTTATAATAAAATTAAAATAGTTTCTTCAAACCAAACTATGATGTTATGATGTTTATATTTGGCAAATTTATGTTTGTATATTTTGCAAAAATATGTTGCAGTGCATGATGGGGTTTTGCATCTAACGTTTCCCATCTTACATGCATTGTTGCCAGGCTGGGATGTTTCCCAGTCTGGCAGTTTAGAATGACCGTCTATGGGTAAAAAATGTTTTTCTTTAGATTTATGGCCTAAGAGATCAATAGATTTTGGTTCAAATTGGGCGAGATTTGGTGCATCCAGGCGCATTGGGAACAATTTTTGGGCTGGAAAATGTGAGTCAGTGACACCTGCCAACCCTGCTGATGTGGTGAGTGGCAGCAGCAGTCACTGTCGCGTCCGTGTTAATAACCAAAACCAGTAAAACCGTATTATAGAAGTCTTGGTGATGGTTGTCGTGTGATGCTGGAAGATAGATCGGTTAATCCACAATGTGTATTCGTATTATGTTTCACATTTGAGACACATTTCACTGTGCTTCTTGTAAGAGTCATAAAGCTCTTACAAGAAGCTTTATGGCTCAATATGAGTTTGACTTTTTGAAATTAGTAACTAAAGAAAATCTAACTTTTTAATTTTATGGTTAGATGGCTGATCTTACTATTAATCACTGAGTTTGCAAAAAATATTTAGATTTAGTTTACGATAAATCTTTAAAATATTCACAGACAAAATCACCAATTTTCCTATAAATAAAACCTGTAATGTAATTTTTGTTTTCGGATAACTCTATCCCTGGTTTCCAAATCTGCCGTTAACATCTCTTTCTGTTACACCGGCAGCCATTTTTTCCCCCTAAACTTCCATGACAATAAGTAGCAAAAATGGAAAATAAAACATGCCTACAGCTCATAAATAATCTAAATATCTTTATACTTTTGTAGTTCGGAAATCTTTTTAGTGATACGAGGGAGTATTTGGGCCAGGCTAGAGATTTCTTAAATTTTTTAATTTGGGAATAAAGTTGAAACATTATGAGAATTCATGGCTTTGAACGTAGCTACAACTTTATTCTCGTAAAGTTACGAATTCTCGTAATTTTATGACTATTCTCGTAACTTTATTACATTATTCTCGTAATTTTACGACTTTGCTCTCCTAATTTTATGACTTTATTTTCCTAATTTTATGACTTTATTCTCGTAATTTTATGACTTTATTCTCGTATTTTAACGAATTTATCCTCGTGATTTTATGACTTTATTCTAGTAATTTTACGACTTTATTCTCGTAATTTTATGACTTTATTCCCGTAATTTAACAAATTTATTCTCGTAATTTTATGACTTTATTCTAGTAATTTTACGACTTTATTCTCGTAATTTTATGACTTTATTCTCGTAATTTTATGACTTTATTCTAGTAATTTTACGACTTTATTCTTGTAATTTTATGACTATTCTGTTGCAACTTTACTCTCGTAATTTTCTGATTTTATTCTCGTAATTTTTCGACTTTATTCTCGCAATTTTATGACTTTATTCTCCTAATTTTATGACTTTATTCTCGTATTTAATCGACGTTATTCTCGTAATTTTATGACTTTATTCTCATAATTTTACAACTTCATTTTCGCAATTTTATGACTTTATTCTCGTAATTTTATGACTTTATTCTCATAATTTAATGACTTGATTCTCGTAATTTTATGACTTTATTCTCGTAATTTAACAACGTTATTCTCGTAATTTTATGACTTTATTCTCATAATTTTACAACTTCATTTTCGCAATTTTATGACTTTATTCTCGTAATTTTATTACTGTATTCTCGTAATTTAACGACTTTATTCTCGCAATTTTATGACTTTATTCTCGTAATTTTAAGACTTTATTCTCGTAACTTTATGACTTTATTCTCATAATTTTACAACTTCATTTTCGCAATTTTATGACTTTATTCTCGTAATTTTATTACTGTATTCTCGTAATTTTATGACTTTATTCTTGTAATTTAACGACGTTATTCTTGTAATTTTATGACTTTATTCTCATAATTTTACAACTTCATTTTCGCAATTTTATGACTTTATTCTCGTAATTTTATATCTGTATTCTCGTAATTTAACGACTTTATTCTCGTAATTTTATGACTTTATTATCGTAATTTTAAGACTTTATTCTCGTAATTTTATGACTATTCTCGTTGCGATTTTATTCTCGTAATTTTATGACTTTATTCTCGTAATTTTATGACTTTATTCTCGTAATGTTACGACTTTATTCTCAAAATACATGTAGAAGAAAGAAAATATCTATTCTGGCCGTATTACTCTGTTGTAGGGAAAAATGTGCTTCTTGTAAGTTGTCATTAAATACAACTTGTTTCTCGTAATTTTATGACTTTAGTCTCGTAATTTTAGGACTTTATTCTCCTATTTTTATGACCATTCTCGTTGTGAGTTATTTGCGTAATATTACGACTTTACTCTCGCAATTGTAAGACTTTATGCTCATCGTTTTTACACAAATATTAATAAAGAAAGTGGGTGCTAGCTACATGCTAACATGTAGCTGCATGTTAGTAAGTAGCTTTATGTTAGCATGTAGCTAGAATGAAAGTGATAGATAGCTGACATATTTAGACTGGGTAAGTTGGAAGAATTTAACTGATTTGTTTGTTAATTTAAGATCTCTTTATTGGTTTGGTAACTATTACAGTTGGTGATTGAGCTTTGAGAGTTTTTTCCCACCAGGTTAATGACGGTTTCATTTACAATAATTCAAACAGGAAACGTTTATTTTATTTTTTATTGGGTAAAAATGACCTCTACGTCTTTCTAACCGTAGAAAATGAGTTTCTAAGTATTATTGAAGAGTCTCCCTCCCTCTCTCCCCCCTCCATCCCCAGCTGATCGTCATATCTCCTCATTATCTCCCAGACTCGGAGGCAAACAGCCGCCGCCTCCTCCACCGCCACACCGGCTGCTCCTCCTCCCCTCTGGCCGCTGCAGGGCACCGCAGGGCGGGGAACGATCGGTGGAAGAGGACGGGGCGACAGCTGCTGTGAGCGAAAACAATCCCCTCTGCTGTCCTCGCTGATCCCTGACATCGCTGAGAGGATCTCTGCTCCAGTCTGAGCCGCAGGACAGCAGCATGAACCGCAGCAGAGGAGGACAAGCAGGAGGAGGAGAAGGAGGAGGAGGCTTCCTCACCATGTTTTTCTCCCTCTGTTTAATTTGGACCCAGCTGCTCATCCCAGGTAAGCAGACAGACCACAAACACACACAGATGTTAGGATCCGCCACCTTTAAAGCATTAAACATGCTGCTGTAAGGTGTAAAATAAAAACATTCACATGTTTATCAAGCTTAGCTGGAATCTGCAGGATTCCCTCATCCACATGGTGTGATGGTGCTTTTTTGATTGCCAATACATGGCTGTCATTAAAAATCCCAAATGTGACATTTGTTAATAAAAGCAACGTAATGTTTGTAGAGTCCAAAGCTAAAACATTTAATTAGTCTTAATGCACCGCAGGTCCTATCTTTAAGAGAAAGGGATGAAGTATTTTTAGCTTGGAGAGATATTTGAGTGAGCTGCAGAAGATGCCAGCATTCCCACTGCGTCTTCAGGGGCTGATCAGTGATGCAGTTCCTGTGTGAACGCCTTAAAACTGAATTTAGGTCAATAGACCTTCACTCTGAATCCACCGAAAACCAAGGGAGCAGCTGATTTGAGGAAAACCTCAGAGATGTTGCTGTCTGCATTAATGCAGATCCAGAATAAATGAATCAAAATGCTGTTTCTTTATAAAATTAGAGGAGCTTCCTCAGCTTTAACGGCGTGGTGCTCTTTATGAAAAAGCATTATACATTTTTTTTTGGAAGGAAAGAAATTGTAAACCTTGTTTTAAAGACATAAATGGTTTAAATACAGACTGAATAGAACATAAAAACTGTTTCTCACCTTAGTCCAAAATGGCTAAAATCTGGGTAAAATTTATGCAAACAAATCCAATTAAATTCTATAGCACTAATTATTTCTATAGCACTAATTCACAACACAGGTCATCTCAAGGCACTTTACAGTTCAACCAGATCATACAGTCAGATTGATTCAAAGTTTTCCAAGGAAAACCAGTGATTGCATCGACTCATTGACTCGAAGGCAATCCCTCACACTAAGCATGCTTGTAGCGACAGTGGACAGGAAAAACTCCCTTTTCACAGGAAGAAACCTTCAGTGGAACCACGCTCAGTGTGAGCGGCCATCTGCTGAGGCCAAATGGGGTTCAAGGAGACAGAAAAAGAAATACAGAAAGAAGCAAAGATACAAAAGGCAATTGTCAACAGGCTCCACCAGATATAAAATTTTTAAGACCACCAGAACCAACACCAAATAGGGGATTATATCACAGCAATGACTCCTTGGACAGATTTTAAAACCCTAAAAATGGTCGATTAAAGCACTGAATGCTACAGAGTGCACAGCTTTCATATAAATAATTTGGGAAATCTTGAAACCTGGAGGTATAAAACTGCACATAACCTTTTCAGCAAACCTTTAAATACATCCCAGTTCATAAAAACAAAACAAGGAAAAAAAAAACAGCTAAAGGAAACGCTTTGGTTGCAGGGCCCATTTAAGAATATATATATATATATATATATATATATATATATATATATATATATATACAATTAATGTTTTTCGAAGTATTTGGAGAGCTCTGTTTCAAGGAATGGTTAAGGTATGGAGCAGGGGTGCTCAAGTCCAGTGCTCAAGAGCTACCATGCTGTAACTTGTAGGCTACGTTCACACTGCAGGCCTTGATGCTCAATTCCAATTTCTTTTGTGAAATCCGATTTTTTTTATTTTTTATTATTATATTTTTTTTGCGTTGCCTTTCACATTTCTAAATATATGCGACGTGTATGTGATCTCCAGTGTGAACTGCAGTCATACAACGCAAGTGTCCTGCATGGCGCAGTAGAGGACACAGTGACCTCACAGGCCAGTGTGCTCTGTGTTTACGGAAGTAAACATGGATAGTGGTGCCAGAGCAAATCTAGCGATCTTTCCAAACCATAAAAACACAATCTTTTCAAGATGGTTAAACATAAATACTGCTCTCCGCATCATCGTCTGCCATGGTTGTTGTTTTTCTTGCCGCTTCTTCATAGAAAGACCCAGAATAGTGTCGGGTATTAATGGCGTTCAGGTCGGATGAATGCGACCTGGCCGTTCAGACACAGGTCGCATTTGAAAAGATCAGATTCATATTGGATTCAGGACCGCATAGCCAAGTGGTCTGGGTCGCATTGGAAAAAATCACATCTGTGTTCAGACAGCCATAAAAATATCAGATCCAGGTCGCATATGGGCCAAAAGATCGGATTTAGGTCACTTCAGGCTGCAGTGTGAATGTAGCCTAAGTGTTGGGGCCGGTATGATTTAAGGAGGGCCGGCCCTTGCATGCTGAAATTAGGACCAGACACAGGTCACATGCAACGCGTTATTATCCAAGTCATCTTGAAAACATTCCTCTTCCAAATGTTGGCTACATATTACGTGTTACGCAAATCCTCCCTCTTCAAGTTGGCAATCCGACAATGAACCCGTCCGTGGAGGATTAGGAATCGGAATAACTGATTTTTATTCACTTTTACCCGATGTATTACACATCCAACTGCCATGCACGTGGACATTGTCAGCTTAATTATAGCTCTGGTGAATTTCAATGGTGAAGACCTCTGGTCACAGATTACCAGTCTGAGCCTGCAACGCTTCTATTATCCAAGTCATCTTGAAAACATTCTTTTTCCAAATGTTGGCTACATATTAGAAGATCAGATCCAGATCGCTTGGCTATATAGTCCTGGATCCGATACGAATCGGATCTTTTCAAATGCGAACTCTGTCTGAACGGCCAGGTCGCATTCATCCGACCTGAAACTGACATAAGTCACTATTCTGCGCCTTGCTACACAGAAGTGGCAAGAAAAACAAACACCATGGCGGATCATGATGCGGAGAACAGTTTTTTTTTTTTTTTTTTTTTTACTATCTTGAAAAGATTGAGGTTTTAAGGTTTGGAAAGATCGCTAGATGCACTCCAGCACTACATCCATATTTACTTCCGTAAACATGAGGAACGCTGGTTTGTGGCGTCATTGCGTACTCTACTGCGCATGCGGGACACAAAAGCTGTATGAATGCAGTTTACGCAGGAGATCACATACAAGTCGCATATATTTGGAAATGTGGACAGCAACGCAAAAAAATCTGAATTGAGCATTAAGGCCTGCAGTGTGAACGTAGCCTTAGATGCATCTCTCCTCTAACACACCTGAATCGAAAGGCTGAGCAGAGGTATGGCAATGAGCCACTTATTTGTTTCAGGTGTGTTAAAAATGAGGAGCATCAAAAAGTTGTAGGATAGTTGCTCTTGAGGACCGGACTTGAGCACCTCTGGTATAGAGCTGGGAATCCTGAGGTTCTGTGTTTGACCTCCACTCCCACAGTCTGCCACTCTGGGTCCCTGAGCAAAGAGCCTTGACTCCACGCTGCTCACTGGGTGCCTCACAATGGAAGCCCACTGCTCCCCAAGGGGATGGGTTAAATGCAGAGAGTTAATTTCATTGCTATTTACTTTTGACAGTATAATGACAATAAAAGCTGGGGGAGAAAAAAAAGTTTTATCTGTTTGTTAGTGGAATATTTACAGGTAAGGGGGGAATTCACACCTGCAGATTTCTGCCCCAATCTCCTCCTCCCAAGAGCCCCAGATTACCGGGGCATAATCCTGTTAACAGGGATTTGATTTCAAGTCAAATCATAAACGGGAATGTTTGTAATTAGATCCACGCTTTGAATTTGAACTTTAATCGAAGAAGCTTGATAATGAGTTCACATTTCTTAAGATGAAATAAAGGATAACTCCCCTCCAAATCGCACTTCCACTCCTTTATCTTATTTTTTCCTTTTCCCATATACTATCACCATTTTTTCTACAAAAATGAACAGATTTGTACACCATCTGAGACAAATGTCAGATCTGAACTAAGGATGAACTGGAAACCTTACTTTGGAAAAGAGTTTTAATGGTAGAAAGTTTTTTTCTTTTTAATGGTGAGAACATCATATTCTCCAAGCTGCAAAAATATCACGACTTTTAACTATAGTGCAGCTTTTATATTATATTGTTGCAAATATATTATTATTAAAATTATGGAATGAAAAAGAAATGCTTTACATGAAAATGTGGAACATATATAGGTTTCACAAAGATGCCTTTTTTAACTTTACATTTCTAAACAAACATTCTGAATATATAAAGAAAAATCTTCATTATGCATTTTAACGAATTGCAAAACATAAACCTGTATCTATCTCTATATAAACAGACAGTTTCCATTAACAGTAAGTAGGTTTTCCTTTGGGTTCAGATCCTGACGACCATTAATCTTTGTCGATTCCATTACCAAATTAGTTGACGACTCTTTAAATAATTGATTAATCAGTTAATCGTTTCAGCTTTTCCTTTTCTTTAGATGTACTGAGTTTAGTGTAACACAATTCTTTAAGTAAAACAACAGGTTTACTTTTGCTATATATTTGCACTTTTTATTTTTAATCTGTATCGGCTGATATGTACGGGAAAAGGCTTATATCAGTGGATCTTTATTACTGAGGTTAGTGTTGAAGTATTACTGACATGTTTTAAGCTGTTAGAATAACAGAGTTATCCTGGAGGTCAATGTTTAAGGTGGATCAGTGTTTTATTTCCTAACTCCTGCAGTAAAGCCCTCCTGTCTGCTGTTCTGTCAGATGAGGCATTTCTTGCAAGAAATAAGGTTGAAATGTATTTAACGTCGTCAGATGGAGAGATATGGCTCTGACTGAGGCAACCTCAGCACAGATATTTATACCTTACAAAATCCCAACACACACCCCCCTCAGGAGAACCAACCCACCCCCTGCATAAAGAACTTTCTCACACTTGAACATTGAAGCAAAACAGCTTCAGTTCATTAAAGGTACACTATGCAACCGGTGTTGATTTTCCAGCGAGGCTCCCCCCAGAGGGCGAAAGTAAAATTGCACTGTCGTAAATATGCACAGCTGTTCTCCTGGTTTCTCCGTCAAGCCAGGCGCGGTTGTTTTGAGCTTAGCAGACAGGCGAACGCAATGAATGACTAATGCTGCGTTCACACCGGACGTAGCTGGCGCGACAGAAGCAGCGAGTTTACATGCAAA